AGAATAACTAGATAATAAAGCTTACTTTTATAGAATTCATATATAATAACTTTATATATTTAATAATAGAAATTTCTCTATTTTATATATTATACGGATTTTATTCTAGTATTAAACTATATATTAAGAATAATATTTCAAAAAAAGAAATATTAATAATATAGGAAAAAGTATAAAGAATTTAAATAAAACGAGAGATATTAGAGAAATAATAATAAAAAGCAGTAAATATATAGAAAAAGTATTATAATAAAAAGTATATTAATAAGGAATTTAAGATATATAATAAAGTTATATTTTATATAAAGAATATTTAATAGCTATAATTTAGTATAAAGCTAATAGATAGATATCTCGGTCTCTTTAAAGTTTTAGAAGTTATAAGAATATATAAATAGATATATTACTTGAAATTATTATTATTATATTAGATCTATAATATTTTCTATATTTCTTTTTTATAACTATAATACCTATAAGCTAGTATTATAATAGAACCAGAATTAGTCGAGATTAAAAATAAAGAGGAATTTGAGATAGAATTTATTATAGTCTATAAAAAAAGCAAAAAAGAAAAAAAGTATTTTATTTATTAAAAAGGCTATTTATTAGTAAATAATATATAGGAACTATTAAATAATCTAGAGAATATAGTTCAAGAATTATAAGAATACTTGAAAAAGAGTAATATTATAATATTATTAGCTAAATAGAAATATAAAAGACAAATACTTTTATTAGAAAACTATTAAAAACTATATATTTATTCTTGGAAAAACTATATAAAAATTATTAAAAACTCTAAAAACTCTAATTTCTGTATTCTATAAATACCTTATTTTTATAACTACTTTCTATTATTCTTATTATTATTCTTATTAGAATTTTTTCGAGAAATAGGTAATAAATTAGCCTAGAAAACTATTAGCTATTAGTAAAAAAACAAGAAGAAAATAAGCTTATTTAATATTAAAGAATATTAATTATATCTTTAAAAGTACTTTATACTTATATTAAGCTAGTAAGAATTACTTAATCTATTTCTTAAATTATTAGAGAAATTCGTTAGCTTTAAATAATAGCTTTAATATAAGAAATATATATAATTTAATATAAATAAAGAGCTATAATAGCCTTTTTTCTTTTAAGTAAAAGTTAAATAAGATACTTATATATATTAATAGCTTGAAAAAGGCAATTTAATTATATTATATATATTTAAGAAACCTTAAATAGTATTAGAATAAGAAATAAAAAAAGGAATTTATAACTTATAGAATTATACTTCTTATTTTTAGAATAATAATAATTATATATCGAGTAATTATTACTTTTAATATAAATAAGATTAGGAAACTTAGTAATATTTTTGGAATATTAAAAATAGTAAAGGTAAATTAAGGCTATAAAAGTATTAGCCAAATAATTAGTAATAGACTAATAAATATTAAAAGAAGAATTTATTTTAATAGATAAAGAAGTAGAAGAGGAAATTAGAAGGAAATATAAATAAAGCTTAAAGAAGTTTAAAGAAGCTTAAAGAAGGCTTAAAGAAGGCTTAGAAGAAAAAGGCAAGAAATAAAAAAAAGCTAGATATAGTATTATAGTTAAGAAAAAAGAAAATTAGTTAATAGAAAAAGAGAGGCCTTTTTATAATATATTTTTCCCGAATAGTAATTATAAATTCGGAACTAGCTCTATATTAGAAATATCTAAAAAATTATAAAAAAGGAATTTATAAATAAACTAGAAGATTAAATTAACTTTTCTAAGCTTTTAGGCCTATAAAGTAATAATTTATTTATAAATAGAGGCTAAATTGGAATTTATAAACTAATTAGAAAATCAAATAAGCTTTATATCTAATAGTATATATTATATCTATATTACCTTTATAAGAGGAAATTACTAAAGGCAATTTATAAATTAATAGAATAGGGTTAGTAAACTATATCCTTAATTCTATTATCTAATATAATAATAGAATAATTATAGAAAGTTTTTAGAGAAAGCTAATAGCCAAAATAGTTTTAGGGAAATATTTATAAAGCTATTTGCAGTTTTCTTAGGCCTTTTAAAAATAAGGGCTTAGAGAAGAAATTAATATAATAGATATATATAATAATATATAAATAGATATTAGATATTATAGATCTGATTTCTTATTTTAAATAAAGCTTATAATCGGAATTATATAAATTATATAGAGTTTCCTAATTAAGTAAAAAGCTTTATATATTTAGCTAAATACTAGAAAATATATAGGGAAATGCTTCTAGCTTTAAAAGGAATATTAATTAGTTTTTATTAGAATTAATTTTTGGAATTAGTTATATTTATAAATATTACTTTATAGCTTATTTACCTTAATTATTTATATATTACTCTATTATTATATATCTTATATAATTCCTATAAATAAAACTAATTAATATTTATTTCTAAAGCTTATATATTTTTATATATAGAATCTAGTATTTTATTAAATATATAGAAATACTAGTTGTAATTAGGAAATATAATTTCATATAAATACTAGTCTAATTAGGCTATTAAATTTAGTTAGATATTTATTTATATTTTAAATATATATATTATAAATAGCTTATTTAAATAGAAATCTAAAAATACTATTATATAATTAATTAAATAATCTAATTAGAAATTCTAATATATATTTAGATAATATTATATAAATAAATATTAATATAAATATATATTTTAATTTCAAATAATAATAGTTTATTATATTTATTAATTAATTAAATCTAATTTAGCCCAAATATAATATATATTTTTTAAATTATATTTATTATATTTATTATATAATTATTTCGGGGTTAAGGAATTATAATATTATATATAAGCTTTTCTTATAAATAATAAAATATATTAGTAAATAAGGCTCTAATTTTTTAAATTAAAATAAAATTATAAAATATTAAAAAAATTAATTAAATTACTAATAAATCTTATTAATAAAAATATATATATAAATATAATTATTTATAATTTATAACTTGTCTATTATTTAGCTTATTTTATAGTATTATAAATAGTTATTTATTTGCTATTTATTTATTTATTATAATTATATAATAAATAAAATTAAGCTTTTTTATTATATAGTAATTACAGGCTAGTTATATATACTTGGCTTATATAACTATATATACTATATTTAGCTTTAGCTACTTATACTATATCTTTCTTCCTTTAGAATCTGAATATATTATAATACAACTATATTTAATATAACAAGTGGTAGTAATGCCTTTTAATCTGAGCTCTTAATTGAGTATTCTTTCAATAAATAAATTAATTCTTAATTATCGCCATTCATATAATAATTACTATTATCTGAATCAGAGTTCTCGCCCGTTATAGCGACCGATACTGCCCTCCCAATGCTTCCGTACTATATAAACGACTATTAAATCGGAATATGGCTTATACAGACGTTGCAATAGCCCCTTCTTGTTCTGGACTAGTCCTGGACGAACGTCTTCGTTAATTAATTGTGGATACTGTCCACAAAGCCCTTGACGATTACCTCTGCAATAGCCATTAATTAGTAACGCTATTAACCCCTTCTCTGGCTCCTGCAGAGCCTTTATCGCCTCCCAAAGAGCTTCTATCGCCTTGCTCTTCTGCGATCGAACCTCCTGCCGATAAATCGAGCTCCTGCGGCATCGACTGCTCTCCTGTCGACGAGCCCTCTTCTTAACCTGATATTACTATATACTCTATATAGCCTCGACTGCCCTTCTGCCGTCTTTATATATAGACAGTTCCTCTTCTTCTCTTCTATACTTCTAGTACCTCGATTTTATATATATTATAGTACTTGGACAGGCCTTGGGCTTCTGGAAGCTTAGTTACTAGCCTTAGGCTAGCTAGCTTAGTAGACTTTAGAAATACTAGATAAGATATAGTAGAATTACCGGATTAGGATAGAAATACTAGCTAAAACTGCGTTTTTGGACAAATTAGCTATTAAGAATACTAGCAGATATCTCTTTTAGACAGATATATATTATATAATAATTATAGGCTAGTTATATATACTTGGCTTATATAACTATATATACTATATTTAGCTTTAGTTACCTATATTATATTTCTTTTTTTCTAGAATCTAAATATATTATAATATAACTATATTTAATATAATATTTTTATATATATAAATAATTTTAGTAATTAAAGCTATATAGCTATAATTCTTAAAATTCTTAAATATTTCCTTATTTATATTTTCTAAATAATATAAAATTATAATTTATATATATATAAAATATATATTTATTATTTAAATATATATTTAAATATTTTATTTTTATAATTAATATTTAATTATATAGGTATTAATATTAATTTTCTATAAATCTTTTAAGCTTATTATAATTATTTTATAAGAAATATTTATATAAGTCTATTTAATAATAGTATTATAATATAATAAAAGATTTATAAAGTATTATAGTATTTTAATATAATTAAATAAGGTATTAATAATATTAATATATTATAAGTTCAGGCTATATATTACTATTACAATGCACTTTTAGTAATATAAGTGCTAAATTACTAGAGTAATAGTGAGGTGTATCCTAAAAATAGAGGGGCAGGGATATATGGTTGTCAGAAATCAGAAAATCAGAAATCGAAAATCAGAAAATCAAATCTCGCTTCTCGGTTTTGTCGACTAGCTAGCTGTGGGCCTTAGTAGAGCCACTGGCGGGCATATGTAGAGCTTATCCCTTCGTCCGGTGAGACATGGTCCGTACTAGCGGCCGTATCATGCGGATAGCCTGATTGGAGGAGATGGTTGTATTCTTACCTAACAAGGGATATTCGTGTGCGGCCGCTAGTACGGACCATGTCTCACCGGACGAAGGGATACCCAAAATATAACTGCCACAGAACCTATTCATTTGCTCGGCTAGCAGTCTCGCTTGCTTAAGCGATACTATGGTTCAGCTAAATAAACGAGCATATGCAGAGTTTGATAATATGGTTCAACTTAAGCGATACTATGGTTCAACTAAAACCCCCATCATTGCCCGATCGCTCAAAACTGACTTCGTTATACCCTAGCCCATGACATACTTTCGTAAGAGACGAGCTATTGTGGGTGATTTAGCAATAGCAGGTTCATTCCTAGGAGGCGTCATCTTCCCAATAATGGTGATCCGCCTGCTTCCCAAAGTCGGCTTTGGCTGGACGATGAGAATTTGCGCTTTCTTCATCCTCGGCCTGCTCATCATCAGGAACTTGACCGTCTCATCTGACCTCCAACACCATCCCAATCCTGTCAAAATGAATCATTACTTTCATCAAGGTATTAACCTAAAAAGGCTGACGGAGCCGCCCGTACATAAAACATGTGGTATCTGATGCTATCCCGCTCCACTATGCGCATCGAAAGGCCGTAAATCGTTCAACAAGAAAAATCCAGCTATATACCACTCATACATTATGTTCTTCACTCCTCTTCCGACCCCCAGTCAATTTATCAAACCACGAAATTTTATTCGTTGTCCCATTTTCGGCCGATGCCACAGGTGTGACGGGTTGGGTTGCTGTCTTCGCTGCGGTCGAGTTGGCGGATTCGCCTTCGCTAACTTGCGCGAGTTCAATTCCAGATTCCTTCCGAGGTTGAGAATGTCCGGCCGAAGAATTCGCCCTTCCTTTTACTAAAGTCGTCATTGAAACTATTGATTCGCGCTGTCCTTTGGAGACCGAGGGTCGCCGGCCACGGCTCCAGCTGGGGTCTATGGACATGGATCTTCTCCTTGTTGTGTGTTCTGAGCCCGTCAGTTTGACGTTTTGGTGATCGTATGCGTGGGAAATCTTACCATCGCTCCGTACGCTCGCGTCATCCTGGTGAGTTGATCTCCAAAATTGGATCCAGTCAAGAAAATCATGCCATTTTCCCCTCCAAAACTCCATCCCGGAGGTTGTGTTCAGTGAACCAACTGAAGATCCGACCGTTAGCATTTTCGTACATGAGAACGTCTTTGGGTAATTCGAAAACTTGTTTAGGATGTCCTTCCATTGAGCATGAGAATTCAAGGATAAGATTCAGATGACTTACTCAAGAGAAAGAATGGAATGCAGACGGTAGTCATGGTCACGGCGAAATATTTAAAGAAGTGATGAGATGGCATATCTGTCATGCCAAAGACGGACTGAATTTCGCGTTAGTTACGTCGCGGTGTTGAAGGGGAGCGGAGAAAGGAGGCCGGAGGTACTGACCGTGACAAAGGTCAAAGGAAGGAAGAAAATGCTGACCTATCTCTTGGATTAGCATTGCACAAATATTCGAGTGGACGGGGGTGATATACCAATGTCAACAGCTTGATGTTATGTCCCTGCAAGATGGTCACGGTCGACAATTCCACACTCTTCCTGCTCTCTAGAACACTTGTCCCATTGAACAACTGGTCACGAAGGGTCCGAATTTCTTTCCTTCGTTCATCATTATCGTCAGCCAGCCTGTACAGATCCTTGATGATCTTTTCGAAATCTTTCTTGAGATGGGCCATTCGTTTTTTGTAGTGCTCATTGCGCTTCGACCTTTCGTCCATCATCGGCCAAAGAGTCTTATGCTTCCCCTCCCAAACGTCATCCGTAAATGTTTTCTCGTATGCATCGATGATAGCTTTTATGCCATCTCGCATTAGACCGAGAGTTTGGAAGCCCCAAAAGTACCGTCGCGAGTATGTGAACTCGTCGTCTTCGAAGAGAAGCTTGTCCCTGAGTCCTCCATCAAACATGAAGTCCGAAGGAGGAGTAACAAGCTTGCTGATTCTCCTGTAAATTTGCGCGAATCTCTTCTCGGCGTCCTGGAACTCAGCGAGAACCGTGTGCAAGAAGGCCTCTGGACCATTCACGTAATGCTTCGTTGAGTCGTGGATATCCAAGCTAGCTTTATGGTCGGGGTAGCATTGGATGTTCACTACATGCCACTATCATCCGGTCAGTATAGAGGACCCAAGAGACGCGAGCGCAAGCTCGACGAGAGAACTAACTGGTGCCCATGGATCAAAAATGAGACCGTGGTCGTTGTGTTCTTTCCTCGCCTTCCTTGTGTTATTTCGCAGTCTTTTCATAGGTTCACCAGACAAGGACAAGGCTACCACAGAGCTGCATCTTGAGAGTGGAATGTGGTCCAGCGGCTTGTTTCGTAACTTTTCTTCACTGTCCGATTGCTGCCATGGCATAGGCTGCACGTCATCTTCAACTATGGTGAAGTAGTCAAATTTAAAAACGAACGATCGCTGCTCTCGGTGGTCGTGGGAAAAATTGCGGCCTAAAACGTGAGCCTACCTAGGATTAGAGTGCCGGAGTCGAAAGTCCCAGGATTTGCGACTCACCTGCGAATGATCGCCTTTGGCAAGATAGTCGAAAAGTTCATCCATGTTGAAGTCCTTATTCATCGTCATATGCAAGGCGCCCAGGATTATAGGAGATGGTTCTCGGACAATTGTAATCCGTCCAACTGCAGGTCGTTGACTTTCGGGATCCGTATTTAGATTCTGCCAATGATCAGTTTCGAGTGGACTAAGAGTGCAGTAAGGTTTCTTACTTGAATGGCTTGCCAGATGGCAGAGTCGATATGGCTCCCCTTTTCCACAACCTCACTCCTCGACAATGGCGCCCCATCTTTGCTCACATCAAAAACCGAGTAGTGGGAATTGTGCCACTTCTCATCCGAGGGATATTCACGAAATAGTGTTGGATGAAGGAGCCTTCCATGGTCGACCTCCGTTTTCAACAGCTCCTGCCCATGTTCATTAAACTTGTGTTTCTTCAAGTGGTCTCTCAGGTTTTCGTGGTCGAATGTGTAAGAAGGGAGAGGTTTCTGTACGTAGAACTCTTCTTCGACGTCGGACTCGTCGCTCTCGCCAGTGATGACCGAGCTGCCCAAAGTGAGAGGTCTGCCATCGGCATCCTTTGGCCGGTCGGACTTTGCCTTTGCAATCCAATCCGCAGGTCGTTCGGTTTTAGTTTCTTGCGTCGACCGTCTTCGCTGTTTCTTCGCTGATTTCGTACTTGGAGGTCCTCCCGAAGGCCCTGGAGTAGGGTTGCTGGCAGGTGCTTGGACCAGAGCCTCGTGGACTTCGCGGAGTGTTTGCCAGTAGGCTTGTTGCTGTTTCCCAAGCGCTTGCTGCTGTTCGTCAAGCTTCTTCAGAAGCTCAGCGACGCTTGGTACTGCTGACATGACTTTCCGAAGTCGTACAATGGATTGATGCCATGCGACGAGAGAAGGACAACATATCCATCGAGGGCGGCAGTTCGCAGAAACTGGGCAGCATCTACCCCTTTTCCTAGATTCAGCGCAAGGAGCCGCGAGGCTCAGGAAGCGCTGTGGGATCGATCATGCAGCTCTCAGCTCGCCCCCACCTCCTTGGCAGCGCAAGGCTGTTGCCTATCAAGGCAGATTCCCTATTTTACTGGGCATGGTGGCCCCATAAATTTGTCATGGGTCGTATGATATGTCTTGGTTGCCAGCTCATCAAGATTTGACAGCAAGAATGGGGCTGCAGTGCGGATTGAATGGTTTGATTTCGTCTGCGCCGCAGAGCTTCAGGCTTCAAAGGCGATGGACCCAGAATTAAAGGTTAGGAAAGCTGAATAAGGATGGCTGACACGTGATTAAGTACCCCACCATCCCCCCTTCTATATAATAGCCGTACTAAACCTGTAGAAAACTTTCCCTGCCACGTGACCAGTTTTTGTCTGTACGGGAACACCAAACCTGTGCAGGCTCCACTCGCGTTTTACCTACGCTTTGCTTACGCTTTGCTTATACCCACAATGTCTGAATTAAATCAATTATACTGCCCTGGGTGTCGCTGCCCTCGATCGATCTTCCAGTTCCCTCTTAAGGATGGCTGGCGAACCGCGACGTGTGGTTCTTGCCTTGAGCGACAGGCCTTGCGCTATGCAGCGATTCAGGGGCGAGAGAGAGAAGGGAGAGAGGGAGAGGGAGAGGGAGAGGGGGAGGGGGAGCAGGCTACAGGTAAGTTAATGGATCTGTTTACGGACAGATACGGGCAAACTAACTCTCCTAGGGCCGCAAACCCGTTGCTCGAGCTGTTTACAGGTCCGCGATCTCGGCCGCTTCCTTACCTGTGAGCCCTGTCGTCGCCGGAATTTAAAGGCAAAGCGTCACCGAGCCCTAATAACTCGCGTTCCGAACCCTTCCCCAACTCGAGCCGAGCTTGCGGATCATATCCAGCGCCGGCAGCAAGCTACCGGGAAGAGAGAGAGAGGATTTGCTGGATACCGGGCAATTACGGTCGATGATTATACCCGGGAGCCGACCCAAGAAGAGGAGCAGGAGCTCCAGGACCGGCAGCAGCAGCGTAAGGATAGGAAGGCAGAGAGGAGGGTTTGGGAGGTAGAAAGTAAAGAGCGAGTAAGGGAGTCATGGGTACAAAGAGGCCAGTTCCTAGGGGAGGGGGAGTTTGAGGCGTGGTGGGAGGCGAGGGAGAAGAAGTGGCAGAGAGCAAGTGAGAGGTTAAAGGAGGGGGACAGGGAAAGGAGGAAGATGAAGAAGGATGGAGAGAAGTGGGCTGAGTGGGCAGAGAGGGAGGAGCAAGAGAAGAGAGGGAGGGAGGAGAGGGAGGAGCAAGAGAAGAGAGAGAGGGAGGGGCAGGCTTGCGGACTGGTAGGGAGGCAATTAGAGGAGATATATATAGACGAATACTAATATTGCGATGATTATTAGCTTTAATTCCAGGGCAAGTGAGGCTTGGGAGGGCCCGCGAGAGGGAGGGAGCTTTGCGGGTAAAAGTAAGGCTTGGGAGGGAGTTACGGGTGAGAGTACAGGCAGTAAGGGGCTTGCAGGGCGAGTGAGGCTTGGGAGGGCCTGCAAGGGGAAAGGGGGAGCTCTGCAAGTGAGAGTGAGGCTTGGGAAGGCTCTGCAAGTAAGAGTGAGGCTTGGGAAGGCCCGCGAGAGGAAAGGGAGAGCTCTACAGGTAGGAGTGAGGCTTGGGAAGGCCCGCGAGAGGAAAGGGAGAGCTCTATAGGTAGGAGTGAGGCTTGGGAGGGCTTGCAAGGAGAAAGGGAGAGCTTTGCGGGTAAGAGTGAGCCTTGGAAGGGAGCTACGGGCAAGAGTACGGGTAGTAACGGGCTTACAGGGGCAAGTAAGGCTTGAGAGGACCCGTAAGAGAGCCAGAAGATCCGAGAGAGCTTTATAGTTCCGGTAAATAGCCCGCAAAAGCAATACTACTTCTCTTGCAATCGAAAAAAGCCTCTTATAGACTTTGGCCGGTTCTTTAATTATAATATATACCGGGAGCGGAATAAGAAAGCGAACCGGGCCCGGTATATAAAGCAAAAAGCTAAATATTTAAATAAAAACTCTTAAAAACTAATTTCCCTTATACTTATATATTATATTAGTACGAGCTTGCGAGTGCAATGTGGCTATATTTAATAAGAAGAGGGTTTTATAAGTAAGAAAGGGAGCTTATAAGTAAAAGTAAGGCTTAAAATAGCCTATAAAAGAGGGAAAAGAGCTCTATAAATATAATTAGAGGTATAGCAGTCCGCAAAGAGAGAGAGAGAGAGCTCTATATTAAAGCTAAAAGTCACCTTCTTAATCTCGAATCGAGATCAGGGCAAAATTAAAGACTGGCCCCGGAGCTTGCGTAGGGCCGCCAGGCTTTAATTTTAGCGAAGCGGCCCAGATCTCGTTTCTTATTACGCATGCAAAGGACGTGCGAGAGGTTTGGGTGCTTGACAGAGAAGGCTTCTGATAGTTGGTCGTCATTGACATCAATTGATTTGCTGCCAGGATACCTTCACCGCGAATACTTCCGAAAATTTGTTTATAAAGTTCGGTCTCAGGACCCCCACTCTAAGCAAGGTCACCAGTCAGAAATTAGTTGTACCTTTCTTCCTTCTAGAAAGAATTCTGAAGACTGCCTGAAGCACCAACTTACGCTACATAGTGGTGAAAATAAAAGAAGTGTTACTTTCTATCAAGATAAGCAATTTGGAGGAGTCTTCTCTCACTCCACCATTTCACCCCTCTCAATACCTCTAACTCGACTCACCATCTAGGAATGGTATCTTCTTGTTCCCAGTCCTCAAAGATATTACTATGTCTCCTCTGAGTCTGCGGTCTTCGGAACCCCAATGAACATATCCATTCGGTATGTGCAGTCAACGTCCAGCAGTTTGGACATTCTTCACAGTTATCTTGCCAACAGTACAGTCAGTCTCTACCGCTGTGTAGGTTCCCCCCTCCGCACTGGTTGGTGTTTGTTAACATCTTGCTTGGGTTTAAATATCGGGAAGAACTTGCTTACCCCACATGTCCGCACTTCATGTTGTCAAAGTCCGGTGTTTTGATAGTTTGTGTTCTTCAGTTGGTTCATTTGGTTGCCAATTCTGTATTCAATCTTGACGTTGAACTCAAACGATATGCTTTTGCAGGGAAATTGGCAAATTAGTCACTAAATTGCAGAAATGTAAAGGATACTAAACTTATTTGGAGAGAAGTCTCGGAATCACGAGTGTCATTCACAGATATTCGTCTGTCCGACTTCTTGCTACAGTACGGATTACCAAAGAATCGTTCTCATTCTTTATTCTCAATATCATTCACCTGAAGTAGCCATGATATCCATGCTCAATTCCCCATCAGCTCGAATACCCTCCACTCACACCTCAATTTTTCATTCCCAGTCCCCGTACTCGCTCGAATAAGCGAACCAGCCTTCCTCCAACGTTGGTACAATCCCAACACTTGTAGTGCAAGCATCTGGTGCACATAGCTGCATCTCCATGGTTCAATTTGTCGCACTGTTCTGAATTAGAAGTCGGGCACTTGAAACTTCGGGTGCGTGGTTGAGGGGAAAGGGGTCAGTTACACGACAACATTCCCAAGATCCTCCCATGGTGCTGTCAAACGCCAAGGATCGTATTTAATACCTTTTTGCGTAGCTTTTGTCCTGAGTTGCCCGCTTCGATGTGGATGCAGAGTTTTGAGTCTCGCTTTCTTGGGTTGTGGCTACAATAGACAGTGAGTAGATCAATGAATAGTCGGAGAAGTCCCGAGTGTACAAATTTATGGCTCCTCAATAACTGCAAAGTTATTTGTCAACAAGAGGAGTTTCGGATTTCGAGATTTTTTGCCCCCAGGTTGAATCACAATGTGCAATGTGAATCTCCCGTCAACCACTCGAGCTGAAGTTGGGGAAGTCTCGCTCATGGATTAAGTATCCGAACCCGTTAAAATGCATCTCGCCACCCTTCCCGAGACATCCTTTAGTGTGCTAGACATACATATGAACTGTGCCAAACATGTTTATGGAACTGAGACATTTTAAGAGCCAAAATCCCGCACTGAAACACTTCCGGTCGAGTGGTCTACTTCTCCACGCCAGCGCTGCAAGTTCCCGAGATCAGCCCATCATTTCCCCCGATCATAGCTAATGAAAACTTCCATGTATATCGGGGCTCGCCCATTTCTCCCAATGGTATCCTGAAATCTTTAAGTCAAGAGCCACAACAGGATTGAGGTAGAGTCAACTGACCTTGGGTATGTCCACCAGCCACCGAACAGTCTCTGCACAATGGTACTCTATCGTATGTACATAAACGACAGAATGTTGAACGACCTGGATTTGTTGTTTTACAGGGCTACCTCTGTTAGTTTGGGTGTATGCTTGCAGAAGAAGGTTTAACTGACTTGACGATTGCCCTGTTTCTTGCAGCAAACCCAAGCTTTTCCGTTTGCGGGTTCAACAGGCCGTCGTTGGCGAGGTCTCTGAGGCTTCGAAGGACCGCAACCCATGGTGATATGAAAGAGAGCAAAGGCTCTCCGGGAGCTCTGGCTAGAGTTTGTGTTGGGGATCCAAGTTTGTGAAAGCTTTTCCTCGAAGACTTGATTGAATCTGTGAAATGCAACTGTGCTTGACATTCTTTCTCGATCTTGAGTATCTAGATGTGTAAACGGAGACGCCGTTGAATCTAGCGAGTCGAAGAAGCCGTGAATAATACTTTCCAACATGTTCCTCACCTTCTTGATTCAGAATCATAAGTCAAGATCTTCTTGGTTGTGACAGCGGATGGTTTTTAGGGACGTCCGGTTGCTTCGAGTCGGATGAGTTGCCGCAGCTCAAGCATACAGCATCTTCTGCAGAGTTGAAGGTGCCGCATTCACCCTTCCAGAAATACCATTTTTTTGAATTTAACAAGGATAGCTCACATCTCTATCGTCAATGTTGTTGACACATTTCCAGCAACTTGTTGTAGGTCTTGGGTTTGGAATTTGACTAGACTTGGATGCTTCTTGTTTCGAGAAGTTGCTGCCCATTTTGTAGCCAGGACGTAGACAGAGTCCTCGATTGTATTGTAAGTGCAGTGTGGTAAGAATCAAAGATTGGGTGATGTGCATCAATGAATAGCAAGCGAGATATGAGTTTGATGTGTTCTAGTATGTTACGGTGGAAAGGTGTTGTGATGCTCGATTTCTTGACCAAGGAAAAAAGTGCGATGAAGTAAAATAGCCACCGGTCACGAATACGGAGAAGTTCTCTCACAATTCCTTTTAATCACTATGGAAACTACGTAGTCCACATTTAGTGACTCGGCGTACTCCTTCTCTGACTCCGGCAACCAGAACCAAACCGCTTTCGATGTGTAGATGACTCTGATTGCACGATTGCACGAGTTTCGTTGCATCGGAGGCACCTGGGTGTAATTTCGGAATTTAATCGTAGGCATAATAATCGTACCTGTGATGTCAAGATAAGAGCGGTAGATTATAAGAGATTTTTACCCTGTAATAATTGGAGTTCGTGCATTGCCAAGGTCCGTTCGGGTCTCTCGCAACTGCAGGGACTGCTTTTGAAGTATTGTTGCCCATGGTCAGGCTTGGGTGAGATTTTGGATGTGGGTTTCTATCGATTTGGCACTTGAGGTCTTCGGGTACTGTAGATTAAAAAGGTTCTGGTCGTGAGTTGAGGTGAAATTTTTTTACCATGAGGGTCGTGGGCAGAGGCTGGCAACCTCAATGCATTTATATAAAACGAGAGCCTTGGAAGTATTGTGAATCACCATCACTATCAGAATCTCGCAAATATTTCATACGAATCATTATATTTAGCAGACTCAATATTATATTATTCATGCTTGCATTTCAGTCCTTCCAAGCAGAACCTTTGGAAAAGAGAAGGCTGGGGTGGTGCTTCTCCATGATTGCCACCATGTAAAAGACCAGGATAGAAGAGTAGAACGTTTTTCTCTCAAGCTTTTCGGGTTACCCTCACTTCCCCCTTTTAACAAACACTAAGCGAGCCCCTATACCTCACCTCCACCGTCACCAACATAAATTTTCCGGTCCACCACATCCTCAAAAATACTCACTCTGTATCCCAAGTACTTCGACATTGACAATACTTTGATCCTTGTCTGCCAACAGTCTAGTCATTGATGTCTTGACTCTGTATGTTTGGCTTTGATATTGAGGGGTTCAGATCAAGTAAGTAGTGGCGGGATACAAAAGTGAATATACATTTTGACCAGATTCTTCACATTGATAACCAAAGAAAAAAAGACGTTAGAGTAAAGTCCATGCATTAAACTATCTCGCCAACCGTGGGGAGAAATTTAACCACTATTGGCCTTCTCCCTCTCCCTCCGACGTCGACATCAACTCATGAAAGGAACATCCTCAACAACCACAGCACATTCCATACATCTCTTATGTCTACAAGCTTTACAAATATCATCCTCAGCCTTGTTGATACGGCCACAGCGCTCCTGGTCTGGTGTGAGGTGGAGGAAATTAGAGAGGGAGTACGGGAAGGGAGGATAACTTGCGTAGCCTGAGTATCGCTGGCCGCTGCAGCGGTTCCAGGGACGTTTGATGGGTTTCCTGTTTTCATTTTCCTTCTCGGTGGTATTGTGAGTGGTTCCAAATCCGTTGGTGGGGTTTGATGAAGGAATTGTCATGTTATTAATAGTTTCGTGGTTTTGGAGTTCGTGATACTAGGAAGAAAATCGAGGTGGTTCAATGCGCAACGGAAGGTGGAATATTAAGTCAAGGTATAGAATAGAAGGTTTAATTGTGAATGTCCCACGACTCGTATCAGATGCTGTGGGGCTTAGATGCTCAAGACCTTGAGGAATAATCAGAAAGTACCGGATTTGATTGTTCATAACACGTGGTACATTCCAATAGCACATGATTTTGAATATTCTAGAGCTTCCAAGTACTTTCAATTGTGAAAGACTATTGAATTAATCCATTCGGTGATTGATTCAATTGAGTCAGTCAAGTGGTAACAATTCGTCCAAGCGGCTAAGTCCTGCCGAAGATGAAAAGACAAGAAGATCGGAAGGTGGTCTAAGGGTGATGCCAAGACCCGATTGCTAGTTCCTAAGTGGACATATAATCGCTTTTACTTTGACTGTCACGACTGATTTAGTTGCTGTCATGTCTCAGATCTGACAGTTCTCATTCTCTTGAAACAAAAGGAGTGTCTGATGTTTTTACCTGTTCTTGTAAATGGCAGTACATATTATTAAATGATAAACGAATCTCATTTTGAACCGGAAGATCTTCGAAACGCTTTCCGCTAATGTCGAGTGAACTTAACAACGATATGTTCTATAATGACAAAGGTTAACTTGGAACAAGGAGGAATCTACAAGTACTTGTTACTGGCTACATATACTTTATTCCCCTGTCCAATGGCATGGAAATTGGGTGAACTACCTGGCATGGAGCTGACAATCATTGGCAGATGTGGATTGATTAGGAAGTGGCGCTAACCCTCGATGTTATTCAGGAGAGCTGAATCCAGCTGTCGGTGTGCTCGCTTGACCAGAGAAGCTGCAAACATCCATCTATGAGCTCATCCTCATATCTTCAGATAGGAACGATGCCGAGATGCAGTGCAAAGTTTCTCACAACCTCTAATGACTTGGCTGCAACATCAAACAAAGTAAAGACTGGACACTCGCCATGCTTGGCATTTCTAACATCACCAGCAAGGCTGAACAATAAAAGGAAATGCTCTTTTCATTCATCATTTATTCTCATGTAACTATTGCTGCGCTTCCATAAACCATTATCGAAACTCCTCTCAAGTAATGAAATCTAGACACAGGTAGGATTGCCATGGGGTATCGGGAAATTAATGCGCCATGACTTCGTCGACGTGGTGCTCAACACCATTGGGCTTTTCGACACCATCGACCTCCATAGCATCATCACCCTCGCCCTCAACCTCGACTTCTTCCTCCTCGAGCTCCTCCTCCTCGCTCCCGCTACTATCTGCTTCGAGATCCTCGCTGCCGTCATCGGACTCCTCGCCAGCGGCGATGGCACCTTCGCCCTCTGCGCCAGCCATCTCAGCATCTTGCACCATGGCATCTGGTGCGGCCTCGCCACCCTCTTCAATTTCCTCTTCCTCCTCCTCAGCCTCCTCAGCTCCATATTGGTCTCCATCCGCAGTCAGATCAGCTTCGGGCTGCTCAGGTGGGAATTCGGGTGGAGCAGAAGCCTCGGAGTCCCTGTAGATTGAATGTTAGTAGGTGACTCATTGATTTGTCTTTACAGCACGTACCATTTGATAGCGAACCGGGTGACTCTTGGCTTCTCTGCTAGCACGTTTCTTCGGACCTTCTCGAGGATCGGTTTTGCTGGGGGATCGGCATTGAGCTCTTCGGAGTCATACTCATTGTTGACATAGTAGCCAACTCGCACGAATTCCCGATTGTCGTAGGCACACGTGAGAAGGATGACGGTGACACCGAGGATTTCAGCGTCTGGGATTCTGTTGGTGTCCGGTGGGTCGGCCTCGAAGATGAACTTATTGACACCGACGGGTATTGGGCCCACGAGGAGGGAGTCAAGCTCTTGATCGTGCTCATCCCTGATTGATATTAGCGTGTATTATGCGCAGAAGGAGCGAGGGTCTTACGAGGTAGCAGATCCAACGTAGGTCAACTTCCATTCGAGGTCTAATGACGCAAATCAGCATCTGAAGCAGCTTATTTCCGGTCTAGAACTGCATACCTTTCTGCAGAGGCTCCAAACACTCAAAGGTGATCTCGAACTGATATGAGTCGCCGAACTTGGCTGGGTTGTTGAGGACGTTGACGCCCAGGAGAGACACAACCGACATCTTGAGCAAGTGATTATTTTAGGTTGTATGTTGTGAATGTAGAATTGAAGGTAGACCAAAACAGGTTGGATGTAAACGGGAGGTTGTTGATCTTAAATAGAGGAGGATGAGACACTGCGGAGGATGGTGGAGGAGAGTGGGAGACGCTGGCTTCTTTGTGGGACGCGTTTGGGGCGCGTTGACCGCGACTTCCCAAAATCACTTTATTTTCGCACGTGTGGAAATAGGCACTAGAGTGTTTGAGGACTAGCGCTGATCATAGGTAAGCACTTTCCATTTTAGGCTTAGCCGGCTAGAGCTCCAAATTTGAGGACTGCAAGGCTGAATAGCTATCATCACGGAACGCCAGACATAGCCATCAACATGGCGGACGCGGAAGTCAGTCAACCCCCTTCGATCACTTCAGAATCCTCGGACACTAACATGGCACAGCGCGCGAACAACGGTTCCAACGAGTCCAACACCTCGTCAGATGTGGACATTCCAGTTGAGAATTCTACACCTGACGTTACAGAACTGGAGATTGCAGAGAAGCTTCCTGCTGCGGACGATACAGATGCAAATATTCCGCAAACGCTTTCTGCTGCTGAAGTTCCACAACCAGCCATCCAAGTAACGCTTCCCACACCCACATCGCAACCATCCTCTGCTCAACCGGCACCCGTCGCAAATTCCAACCCTATCATTCCATCCACCACTCAAGCAGCATCGCTCCCAAAAGCCCGTCTTCCACATGACACAACCGGCATACTCGAAGACCGGATCAAGGAGGATCCCAGAGGTGACCTGGATGCGTGGTTGGCTCTGATCAATGAACATCGGAAGCGCAATAAGCTTGACGATGCCCGAGCCGTTTACGACCGGTTCTTTAAAGTATTCCCTCAAGCCGTAGGTCCCCTAAATTCCCTTCACTTGAGTTTGCTGACGTTTCGTAGGCCGAAATATGGGTACAGTGGGCTGATATGGAGCTCGAGAACGACAACTTTGCTGGCGCTGAACATGTCTTCGGTGCATCTCTGCTGTCCGTTCTCAGCGTCCAACTCTGGACTGTCTACTTGAACTATATTCGACGCCGCAACGACCTAACAAATGATGTGTCTGGAACGGCGAGAACAACTGTATCCCAAGCATACGATTTTGTCCTTGCAAACATTGGCATCGACAGTCAAGCGGGGAGAATATGGCAGGAATACATACAATTCATTCGAAGCGCGCCTGGCCAAATTGGTGGTAGTAGCTGGCAAGACCAACAGAAGATGGACCAACTCCGAAAAGCTTACCAACGAGCCATCATGGTTCCTATGTCTACATTGAACGGCATCTGGAAGGAATACGACCAATTTGAGATGGGCCTAAATAAGATAACTGTAAATCTCCGCGTCCAAATTTAAATGCGTGCTAATGAGTCCCAGGGTCGGAAATTTCTTCAAGAAAAGTCTCCCGGCTACATGTCTGCTCGGAGCGCGAACACGGCTTTGGAAAACTTAACCCGCGGAATAATTAGAACAACCCTCCCTCGTCTCCCCCCAGCTCTTGGCTTCGATGGTGACCAGGAATACCTGCAGCAAGTTGAGCTCTGGAAGAAATGGATTACATGGGAGCAAGAAGATCCTTTGGTTCTCAAGGAGGAGGAACCTCAAATCTACAAACAGCGAGTCTTATATGTATTCAAGCAGGCTGTTATGGCTTTGCGATTCTGGCCGGAAGTCTGGGCAGACGCAGCCGATTGGTGCTTCGCCAATGGCTTGGAACAAGAAGGGGATAGTTTCTTAAATGATGGAATGTCTGCCAATCCCGAGAGTTGTTTGATTACTTTCAAGAAAGCCGACCGCCTTGAAACAACATTATCCACTAACGAAGCTGACAAGGGTCCAGCTGAGCATGGTGAAATCATTCGCGCACCTTACGACAAACTCCTCGATACCCTGTACGATATGATCAAGCAACTGAAGACGCGCGAAGCACATGACCTTGCCAAGCTCGAGGAATCAGCAGCTCTTGATGCCTCGATCAGTGCAATTATCAGCAAGGCTGAGGATGACGAAGAGGAGAAAGAGGCAGACATAAAGGCCAGAGAAGCCGCCAAAGCTAATCAGATCAAAGCCATTCAGCAAGGTTATGCAATGCAGGCACAGCTGCTTTCAAGAACACTTTCATTTGCTTGGATTGCCCTGATGCGAGCAATGCGTCGAGTTCAGGGCAAAGGCCAGCCCAAGGATCCCTTAGTTGGAGGGATGAGAAAAATCTTTGCTGATGCACGCCAACGTGGAAGGCTCACAAGTGATGTCTATGTAGCTGCTGCTTTGCTCGAACATCATGTTTACAAAGAAGTCGCTGGAACGAAGATTTTTGAACGTGGTGCAAAGTTATTCCCGGAGGATGTGAACTTCACCTTAGAGTACTTGAAGCATCTGGTGTCTATCGGTGACATTACAAGTAAGTTATCCCCAAAACAGGACCACTATGGAATACTAACAATGACGCAGATGCTCGAGTTACTTTCGAAACAGTTGTCAGCCGCTTGACCCCAAAACCGGACATGGTATCGAAAGCAAAGCCTCTTTACGCATTCTTCCATAAATACGAATCTGAATATGGTGAACTATCGCAAATTTCGAAATTGGAGAAGCGCATGGCAGAGGTGTACCCGGAAGATCCTAGGCTCGCAACATTTGCAGCACGTTATAGTGCAGAAGGCTTCGATCCAACTGCTGTCCGACTCATTGTTTCTCCTTTAAAGCAGATGCGGCCAAAATCTACTGGTCCTACAATCATGCAATCGATTGAGCAGCCATCCTCGATTCAGAACAGCCCCCGTCCTCACTACGTGCAAGAAGCCAGTCCACGACCGCAATACCTCCAAGCTACCAATTCTCCGAAGCGACCGTTTCAAATTGAGGATTCCGACGATCTCAATCGCCCCCGTAAACTTGCTCGTGGCGAGTCTCCTCTAAAGGGTGCTGCTGGTAGACGACTGGATCAGCAGAAGCGATTGCAACAAGGAACACCAACTTGGCAGTCAAACGCACCACCTTTTGTTGTTCCGCGCGATATCACATTCCTTCTCAGTATCATTCCAAGAGCTGATCTGTACACGTCCACAAAATTCAGTCCTGAAGCTCTCGTGCGACTTCTTCGTGAGACAATCGTTCCCGACTTCAGCACTTGGAAGACTGCGCGGGATCAATCCCAACCACCCGTTCAGCGATATGATGGTACGCGTTCTACTCACATTCCACCTCCTCCCAGACCAAACGCATACCCGCAGCAGCAGCAATCCGGTGGTCAAAACAGTCAATATGGTGATCAAGGCAGTGTCTGGCAGAATGACGGCAGCCAGCCTCCGTATCCAGACCCTCATGCCTCATACCCAGGCGCGGCTCACCAGCGTGATGCGTTCTCCAGACTACCAGCGGTACATGGACTTCCACCTCGACCAGCCTTTCCGCCGCCATTACCAGTCCCAAGTAGGTCTGGGTACCCTGTGGTTGCCGATCCTGGTCAGGAGAACCGTGCTACACCTCCCCAGCTCCTGCCTGCCCACCTTTGGTACTACCGATAGCTAACCTGGGTTTGCTGCAGGATATTTCCGCTAAATAGAAGTCATCACTAGACATGACCTTTTCCTACATTGTGGGTGGACCTTCTCCTCACGGATGTATTTCGGCTTTCTCGTTTTCGGATACTGGTTGGTGGCTGGCATGGGAGGATCTTTTAGGGAAGGAAAGCATGGTTGGATGAAAAGTTTATGTTCTAGAACGTCCGCGGGACTTACCCTTTTCGTTTCTTCTGCGCGTGGAATTTATGGAGAGGGGAGAATGGGCTGCACAAGGATCTGGCGGCTCTTTCTCTCGCGGCATAAAGCATGGCGTTCTAGGGGCAGCATTCAAAAGCTGTCGAGGGGATGTAAGATTACAGTAGGATCAATGCAACGCCTTTTTCGTCCCTGCAGCTTTGGATCTCTTTGCGTGCCATGTTTTGAGTTGTTTGTCTGTTGATTTATGACTTGGAATGTATCTTGCTCGAAGTTTGCCACTGCATCTACGTTGCTCGAAGCTTGCCATCCTTCAGCTCCTCCATTTGCAATCTACAAACAAAATCTAGTCTGGAATTACACTCTCTGCTACCTACATTCCCGCCAATCCTGCCCTGGAAAGGAGCATGCATCAAGATGTTCTGCACTCGCTGGGTTCGGTTCATTTATTGCGGATAGATCGTCACGTGCATCTTCAGCTCTTCCATTCATCGCTCTGTGCTGCTCTTCAAGCTCAAGAATCGACTAAGGGCCTCGATGACGCCACCCTTCGTCATCGCTACCCCGCATTGCCCTGTATTGCTTCGCTTTCAAGGTTATGAGACCGTTAGCCATTGCGAAATCAAGTCATCAATTTGGCTCGGTGCGGCAGGTCCTTGCGTGGAGGGCATAAGGGGGGTCACTTTCATGCTAACAAAGAGAGCCCACAGAGCTCCTCATGGGGAAACAATGTCTTGAATTGAGTTGTAATAGGGGGATTGCGTTCTTTGTACATCCCTCCTTTGTCAATAACCTCGATTGCTTCAAAATAATTGTTGACTTTACCCCTTTCCCTTCCCAGAAGTATTAGCTCCTTGCATACGTGCCAAAGTCCTCACCTTCAACTTCCCCGCTTTTGAATTAAGCTTAAAATGATCAAGTGACCAGACTATGACGCTTCTTCTACTGAGAAAGGCGGGCAAGCAATGCACAAGGCTGCGTGAATTGAGAGTGTACTAAATTAGCGTCCTTTCTGTTTACAAGAGGCGAATTTTCCGAGCCTGGCCTTCTTTCCTTTCCTTCCTCCGTCAGTCGCGAACACGATCCTGCGTTACCCCAACTCTATTCGTCGTGTACCACAATTCCTTCTCGCTGATTTTCGTGATAGAGAGATTTGAGAGAGAGATTGAGTGGTAAGTCCGCCGCGCGCTTTCCTTTTCTTTGTTTGCGATGAGGGGGGGACGTTTGTTTACCTTGGCTGGTGGGCGATAAACGCCGCCCCACGAGGCTGCAACACTTCAACTCCTGCCTGGGCTTACTTCCTTTGAGTGGCGATGGGGTAATTGGTCAATTAATTGCTAACGACGGAGTGTAGATTGAGTCTGCTGTCCTCCGATCTTGGAGTTGAGCAGAGTGTAAACAAAGGAGCGTCAGAGCGAGGCCGCGTTGTAAGTTCTCAACGGCACCCTCCAACATCCTGAATGCATCATTAGGGCAATGATTCCAACGCGGCAATGGAGCGAGTGCTCTGTTTTGCGTGGAATAGGGGCAGGTGATAGGTTTTGCACCTCATTGTCACTGTGACGCAATCGAGCAATGGCTAACTTTCCCTTCTGCCAGAATCTTTCGAAGTTCTCCTTGACGCCGTTACCGCTCGAGCAATGGCAGGTGGTGCAGGTGCACGTCGTGGTCCTCCGAACGGTGGTCCGCCAGGTCCACCTCCCAACAATGGTAACTACCAAGGTCCGCCGCCTGGCCATCCACTGTTCAACCAATACAACAACTACCCTGGTGGCCCTCCCCCTCAACAACAGTACAATGGTCCTTCTATGAACCAACAGCAAGGTCCTCCGCCCGATAAGCCTCGATCCGGAGGTTTTGATGGTCCTGGAGAGCCCTCGCGTGGTTCAAATCCGTACGGCCCAGGTTTAGGTTACGACCCTGCAAAGCCCAAGCCAGTCGAGCAAAAGGTCATCACCAACACACGTATCGAGCTGCCAGCATCCGCATACAAGCTGGAAGGCGGTTCAGTAAGTTGAAATTCTTATTTTGTCTGGTGTTTTGGTTGTCTCTACGAGTTTGGAAGTTTGGTGTTTTGCAGGGCTTCTTCTAGTTTTCAAGAAGTTTCTGTGTTTCCAAAGAGCCAATTGCTCCGGTTCGAAACTCTTGGTTAGAAGTCTTGCTGGAGTTCGAGGATCAAGGGTCTTCTCATTGGGGGTTGCTCCTTCCTTCCTCCCTCCTGCCGTTCATATTTTAAAGGTGAAATCGTCTTATCCTATCTCATCATGTTGATGATGATGCCGTCAAGAGAATGTGCGAATTTCCTAATCGGGAAGGAACCACCCCCCCTCGACAGCTTCGCGAACCGCGCTAGCGCCCCTCCCCAGATTTCCAGATCAACCACCCTCCCTCCTCCTCTATAAAAGAACCCTCTTCTCCCAACCTCTTCCTCTTCCATTATCCACACACACAACAACTTTTTCTGTCTTTGCCTTCCCTTCAATCAATCAAAACAACTTACAACACCAACATCAATCTTCATTCATATCAATCATACACACAAGCACGCAAGGCCAAAACAACAGTTGATTTGTCGTCTGCTCAATCCAAATAACTCATCATACTTATCTTCCACACATCTTCACACCCATCCTTCTTTGATCACCTCATCACCTTCATTCATAGCTCATCATGGAGCCCGAGAACTTCCGTCTTCGTACTCAGGAGGTTACTGATGATGCCAAGTACAACTTCCCTTCCGATTTGCCTTTGCGCCCTGGAACCAATACCACCGGTAAGGCCATCCAAATCCGTGTCAACCAATTCAAGGTCACCAAGTGGCCTGAGCGTGATATCTACCAATATGATGTAAGTTTCAACTTCACCTTCAACTTCGATTTTAACAACATCAAACTGACATCTTTTGCAGATCAACGTCGGAAATGGTGCCGAGAAGAGAGGCAAGATCATGGCCGTCTGGATGTCCCGTGCAGTTCAAGAGCGCCTCAAGCAGGTCAGCCCGGGTACTTCCATTCTTTGGGATGGCAACAAGCTGCTTTGGTATGTTCGAATCCTTCACTCACTTTTGGACATTGATTGACCAGTTCAAGGTCCTCAACCCAGTTCCCAGAGCAGCGCATCTTGGTCGATTTTGATGCCGAGAAGGGTCGTCAACCTCACCCTCAAAAGGGTCCTGACACCTGCTACTGTATCATCCGACCTTCCAAGAAGATTCGCATGGGCGTCATTCAAGGTTATCTCTCAAAGCAGATGCCTTTCGACAACAGCATCTTGGAAGCCATCAGTAAGTTCCTCATCCTTGACCTAACGAATTGGCACTCATTATTTCAGGCTTTCTTGACCACCTCATGCGCCAATGGCCCAGTCAAACTTACACCTTGATCAAACGCTCATTTTTCACCAAGGGCAATGCTGCTACCCCACTTGACAATGTCGTTGTTGCCATGAAGGGTGTCTACTCGTCCATTCGTCTATGCAATGTAAGCTTCCCAACTCCGGTCATCCAAAACCATCACTGACCAGATCCAGCCCAAGTCCTCTGTTGGTCAACCAAGCACTGGCTTGGCTCTCAACGTTGATGTTGCCAATGGTACCTTCTGGGCTCCTCAAGATGTTCACCAGGCTGCCCGCAACTTCTGCCGTGACCGCAACCGTCAACTGTCCTACACAGTCTTCCGTGACCTCCTCAAGCCTGTCAAGGATCCCAAGACTGGAGTTGTCACCCAATCGGAGGATTTCAAGAATCTACGCAAGTTGGCGAAGCTCAAGTTCCGTGTCAAGCACAGAGGCAAGGCTGATGGTGAGTCAAATCTCCGATGAATTGTACCAATTTCTCTGACATGTGTTGCAGACAACAAGACCTATACGATCAAGAAGTTCACTTGGGACTCCGGTTCCACATATCACAATGAGGGTTCCCACGCCAAGAATACCATCTTCAAGCTGAAGAATCGCCAAACCAACTCTGAAGAGGAGATTACGGTGTACAACTACTTCAAGCGCACCTACAACATCGACCTTCAATTCTGGTATCTCCCCTTGATCGTTACAGACAAGGCCGGTATGTTCCCTATGGAACTCTGCCACTTGATTCCCAATCAGCGATACAACTTCAAGCTGTCTCCTGATCAGGTAAGCCACCCACTCTAAATTCTATTGAATTCTCGCTGACAAAAACCAGACCTCTGCTATGATCAAGTTTGCTGTCACTCGCCCAAAACAACGCATTGAGTCCATCAACCATGGTGTTGGTATGCTCAAGTGGAATGAGGATCCATATTTGAAGCACTTTGGCATGAACATTGATCCCAATATGACCCTTGTAAGTCTCCTCTTCAAACTTCGTTCTTCATTCCTGACTTTTCAAGACCGCTGCCCGTCTTCTCCAGAACCCCGAGGTCCAATTCGCTGGTAAGAAGCTCAACCCTGGCACTCAAGGCCGCTGGGACCTTCGTGGTCAAAAGTTCTTTTTGCCAAACCCTGAACCACTGAAGTCATGGGGCATCGTCATTATGCAAGGTTGCACCAACGAGCAAGTCGTCAAGAACTTCATCAATGTTTTTATTCAGACCTACATTGGTCATGGTGGTAAGGTTGAGAACCGCAACCCGGTCATCTACAACCAAGGCCGTGGTGAAGATATTCCAGCTTGCGTCTCCAATGCTCGCAATGCTGCTGGCAACCAAGCCCAGTTCTTGCCTCAGATCATGTTCTACGTTCTTGGTGGCCGCGACTCCTTCATGTATGAACGTCTCAAGAAGAACACCGAGTGCCGTTTCGCAATGGTCTCTCAATGTAAGTCACCTATTTCTGATCTTTTTGAGCATCGCTAACTTCTCAGGTGTCAACGTTGCCCACGTACAAAAGGCTCAGCCTCAGTACTGCTCCAACGTTTGCATGAAGGTCAATGCCAAGCTGGGTGGAACAACTTCCAAGGTTGTTTGCTCTAAGAACTGGTTCTCCGTCCCGACTATGATCCTTGGTAAGTTCCACAACTTTGTTCATGTTGATGCTGCTGACATTTCCGAGGTGCCGATGTATCTCATCCCTCTCCTGGTAGCCCACAGGCATCCATGGCCGCACTCACCATGTCCTTCGATCAGAACGCATGCCGTTATGCAGCTGCCGTTCAGACAAATGGCCATCGTGTCGAGATGATTACGCCAGCCAACATCCGCAGCATGATGCTTCCCCTCTTCGAGCAATGGATCACAAAGGTTGGTGGTGGCCGTGGCCCAGGTCACATCTACTACTTCCGTGATGGTGTCTCTGAGGGACAGTATGCTCATGTTTTGAACAATGAGCTAGCCGATATGAAGGAAGCCCTGGCTGAGAAGTATGGTGCCCAAGTTGCTGGTGGTGTAAGTACAAAGCTTTCTGGAAACTCGAACTTTGCTGACTCCAAAACAGATCAAGTGGACCGTGATTGTCTGCACCAAGCGTCACCACATCCGTTTCTTCCCCAAGGACGGTGATAGCCAGGCTGCTGACCGCAACGCCAACGCACTTCCCGGTACTCTCGTTGAGAACGATGTCACTCACCCCTTTGAGTATGACTTCTACCTCAGCGCTCACTCCGCCATTCAAGGCACTGCCCGCCCTGTTCACTACCACGTCCTTCAAGATGAGGCCAAGGTTCCCGTCAACGACTTGCAAAAGATGATCTATCAATTCTCGTACCAATACATGCGATCCACCACTCCCGTCTCTCTTTGTAAGTAAATTCATTTCTGATTTCTCAAACAGAACTAACTTGTCCCAGTCCCTGCGGTCTACTATGCGCACTTGGCATCCAACCGTGCTCGTGCTCATGAGTCTACACCCGCTTCTGAAGGTCCTCGCGGTGGTCAGAAGTTCGAGGAGGCTCGCCAAGATGCTGCCATCCGTGCTGCCGTTCGTGGCACTCAACCAGGTTCTTCTCAGACTGGCTCTTCCTTGCCGACCGAGGCTGCTCCTCTTGTTCCTTTGGGTAACCCCGACCAAGGCCCTGAGCTGATCCACAAAATCCGCAACGGTATGTGGTACATCTAAGGCACTTCATCTTCTCGAGTTGTTTGCACTTGCTTCCTCTCGATCTTCCATTATTCGATTCTTTGGTGGGATGTTTTACTAGGCTTTTTCTGATCCTCGGATCCCTGGCTTCACCCTTTTCTTTCCTCATCTGGCCTTAATTGATTGGAATGGGTTTGATGGGTTGCGGACTTGCACATACTTTCGATTCTTTTACATAGGAGTTATTTGGAAGTCGCATGGGCTTGACGGTGGAGACATATCATGAATGATGAGCAATGAGCAATGAGTGACGAAAAGAGAGAGCGGTGGCTTAGATAGACCAATCAAAACCACCGTTGTTCTCAATTGAATTCCTTGTGCCATGTGATGGTGATCGAACAGCTTGGGGAGTTGAAGTTGCAAGTGCTTTTCTTTGAGGACTCGTTCCTTGGTTGGTGTTCAAGAACTTCTTCGTTTTTCAGGAGAACTTGAGATCATGAACCTTCCGCGACTTGGAGATCATACTTCGACTTTGCATTTCACAGGCATCTTGTGCTCAGCCATCCTCCTTCTGGAATCTTGACACGAAGGAAGCATATAAACTGTCCTGTGCTTATCACGGAAGTCTGGAAGAGCCGGGACATCTGAACTCTCAGATCTCAGGCCTGAGATCTTGATTTAAGTCATGGAAGGAGTTCACGAGAGGTATTCGGATTGAGGAGGGGAAGTGCGGGGTATCATTCATTCATTCATTCATTCATCTCATCCTGCGTTGCTATCTACAATCCACCTCCATCTCCCCTCCCCGTCATCCGTAGCCCTCGTCTTGATACTTTTCCAAGCAAGTTGACAGCGAGGAGAGAATCAACTTAAATGGCATTCGCCCCGGTACCCCTCCCTCTTCCGGGTTTAAAAGTAGGTTTGGAGTTGGAGCCAGTCATCTTGTCAGCCTTGGCTGCTGCGAACTTCTCGCGCGCGAGCTGGATCGCTGATTTGCCCCCTGTATTCCCTTTTCCTTTGAAGCTCTCCTGAGGAAGCTTAGATTTGTTGTCTTTCTTTTGCTTGTTGTCCTTCGATTTCTTCCCCTCCTTGCCTTCCTCTTTAACTGCTCCTTCATCAACCGTAACCTCAGACGGTTGCAGAATCGCTGGCTGGGAAGGGGGAAGGGACGCGGATTCAGATTTAATCTTATTCACCCACTCCCCACGTCGCCGTTTAAATAGGTCGAGACTCCAGTTCCGCCATACGATGCGGCCGGCGAATGAATCTCGTAAGATTGCTTCGGAGGATGTGAGAGCTGTGGCGATGCGCTCGGTGAGAGAGAAGAGGGAAGAGGGAAGAGTGGTTGATGTTAGGAGGCTGTCGAGGACGTGTGAGCCTGTGGGGGAGAGCGCTAGGGTGATTACCGGATTTTCTTCGTTCGTGGAGGTTGGGGGCGGGAAAAGGAGTAAGTTGATTAGTTTCCTGCGAAATGGTGTATTTGTTGTGGTTGGTAGGAGCGCGGATTGGATGATATGCGTTGTTGTTTGGTAGATTGCCAAAGCCAAGAGAGTCTGGGGTTCCAGGGCGAGGAGGGAAGATTGGATGAACTCTGAAGGTGGGCCCGGGATTTGAAGGAGGCATTGGGCGAGCAGGGAGCCGTGGAGTTGTGGAGGGCTGGGTTTTAGTGTTGGTGGTGGGCGTTTTGGTGGTTGAGAATCATCGGCGGGGGTGGATGAAGGGAGAGGAGGGAAGGTTGTAGAGAGGAGAGAGGCGAGGTCGTCTATGCATGCCATTTTCAGGATAAGAGTCGATGGGCCGGAACCATAGGCTGAGGTGAGCGCGGTGGTGAGAGATGTGGTGTCTGCACCTCTTGCGGCGCATCGCTCGAATAATGTCTTGATAACGGTTGTTCGACTTCGTTGGACGAGACCTTCGAGTTGTGGGATTATGGCTTCGATGGCTTCTTCTAAGTCTTCTTTTGAAAGCCGGTTAAGGATGCGGATTGTGGGGTATGAAGAGATTTCATTCCGAGAGAGGGCGCCGAGACGGGATTTGAAGGTACTTCGGTACAGGGACTTGAAGAGTTTCCCTGGGACGAAGGTGCATATTGTTTCCAGAAGGCGGGAGCCGATTGCGTCGTAGAGGATACCGTTTACGAATGTTGCTGATTCAGAACCCTCTTCTTCGATATTATCAGGCAGGAGGGCAGAGACAATAGTTTTCTCATCGGTGTTAGACCCTTTTTTAGTGTTGGGGTTCGTAAGTTCTAACTCAAGGAGTAGTTGGAGAGTTGGGTTTCCCGTGGGATGCGTAGCCAGGATCCGAATGAAGGATTGGTCCATGGTTGCGATTGTGTCGGAGAGTATCTTTTCGACTGCGAATTGGAAGGAGGAGGGGACGGAGCGCTTGGTGAGGGGGAGCTCGGTGGGTGTGCTGTCGAGGCCTGTGATGGAGATTTTCTCTTTCTTCTTACTTTGAAGGAGGGACCTGGTTGAGGCTTGTTCTAACGGCCTGCCAGAGAGGACCACGAGCAGGACTCGCAGGGTGTGAGATGCGAAGCGGTCGGTGAGGAGGAAAGTCATTTTTCCTTCGAGTTCGTCCAGTGTTTGTAGGAACAGGGTCTCCATTGACACAGCATCCTTCTCCTCCACATCCTCCTTCTTTTTCGATGCCGCAGTCAGCTCCTCCGTAACGACTGGTGCAGATTGGATAAATAGCGTCTCGCAGCAATGGCTCGCAAATCGATGCTGCACCAAATGCGCAAAGTTTCCCGTAAATTTCTCAAACAGCTTTTTCTTCTGCTCCGCAGAACTCAACAGTATCAGTCGTTCCATCAGTCTCGAACACGATTGGCTACATGCAATCTTCAGCTCCTTGCCGTCTGCTTCGCGGTATACATTTTCCAAAAACAAGGAGCGTTCTTCTTCGGAGGGGAAATCGTTTAGTTCGAGGAGTTCGTCTGCGTGCCGGAAGTATTCTTGCTCCTCATCTTCGAGCATGCCGTAGAACGGCCGTTCCGTAGCCCCTCCGTCTTCTTTGTCGACGAGGGGTATGTAGTCATTGTTTAAGCCTGTGATCTCGACATCGTTGTCTATGGCGGGGTTTTGTTCTTGCGATTTCTGCTTCTTAAGTCTGGGAGCTTCGTCCTCGCCTTTCTCTCTCTTCCTTTTGAGTTTATTTTCCTCTTTCTTCTCTTCTCGGCGACCGCGCTTGGCTTTGTGTTCTCGTGGCATTGTAGCGGATTCCTACGTTTTCAGTGCTGGAGTTGAAGTGAAGTTCGCGATATTTTTCTTGGCGGATTATTTTTGTTGCGGCCGCATTTGGCGGTGACATGGGGGCTTGACCAATTTGGGAAATTCTGCCACTTCTTGGCCTAAAATCTTCAGCACGTCATGTCTTCCTCCCAGTTCCATCGTCTTCAGAATCAACTTCTCTTTTTTGCTTGGATTCCACTAATAGACTTGTGTTGTTAGACGTTTTAAATATATTTAGACTTTCAATGGCTTCAAATGGAACTTCGTTACCTCTCCGAAATGGCTCGAGCACTGCTCCGCAGCTAAATCGTGCCGATGAAGTTGATGATGTGAGTTGAGGACCTTCATATTATTCTTCACAATGGGATTAAAGTTTATTATTCTCGAAGGACACATGGCTGACAAGTTACAGCTTCTTAAAGCTGTTCAATCTCTCATTATTCCCTTCATTCGGTCCGCTGATGAAGATGCAAGCACCAAGCCGGCAGGACACGGACTTGCCATCGCTGGAGGAGGCCCCCGAACCTCCCTTGTTGAACACCATAAACCCGAAAAACTTCTGAGCCTGATGGACTTTCAGCTCCCTGGAAGTGGTAAAGGAAAAGAGGGGTTGCTTGCAACTGTCGAACAAGTGCTCAAATACAGTGTCAACACTTGGGACCAAGGATTCTTGGACAAATTGTATGCTAGCACAAATTCTGTAAGTTTCCCTATTAGAACTTATTGTGGGGACTGAACTGAATAGGTGGGGGTCATCTCCGAGCTTCTGTTGGCTGTGTTGAATACAAATGTAAGTCACTTGTGACCCTCTTTTCATGCTCAGCATCTAACATCAGCAGCTTCACGTTTTCCAAGTATCACCAGCTCTCACCGTAATTGAGAAAATCACCGCAAAGACATTTGCAAACTTATTTGGATTCAATAGTCCTCATGCTGGAGGCATCTCTTGTCAAGGTGGCAGCGCCTCAAACATGACATCAATTGTCATTGCTCGCAACAATTTGTATCCCGCCAGCAAGACTGCGGGAAATGCAAACCACAAGTTCGTCCTCTTTACATCCGCCCATGGCCATTATTCCCTGGAAAAAGCCGCCCAAATGCTGGGCATCGGATCTGACAACGTCGTTTCCGTCCCGATCGATTCTCAAGGACGAATGATTCCATCTGAGCTGGAGAATCTCGTGCAGAAGACGAAAGATGAAGGAAAGACGCCATTTTATGTCAACGCCACAGCAGGGACCACAGTACTGGGCTCATTCGATCCTTTTAAAGACATCTCCGCCGTATGCAAACAACACAACCTTTGGCTGCACGTTGATGCTAGCTGGGGCGGACCTGTGATTTTTTCTTCCAAACAAAAGCACAAGGTTGCTGGAGTTGAACTCGCAGACAGTCTGGGAGTCAACCCGCATAAGATGATGGGGGTACCTATCACCTGTTCTTTCCTCCTGGGTCCTGATCTCACCAAATTCCACAAAGCGAATACACTTCCTACGGGGTATCTATTTCACGAGGACAATGCAGGCGGAGAGATTTGGGATCTGGCTGATCTAACTCTGCAGTGCGGACGAAGAGGTGATAGCTTGAAGCTTGCGTTGAGCTGGATCTATTACGGCAGTGAAGGTTTCGAAAGGCAGGTCAACAACGCTTTCGACATCGCTTCTTACTTCGCCACTGAAATTTCTCATCGGAAGGACTTTGTCCTGGTTTCGGAAAATCCACCTCCATGTTTACAAGTGTGCTTTTACTTTGCAAGAGAGGGTAAATTGGCAGCGAGCCCAGACGAGAACACGAAAGTCACAAGTGAGATTGTGCGACGGCTAATACCGAGAGGATTCATGGTCGATTATGCGCCTGGCGAGAAAGGGTCATTCTTCAGGGTTGTTGTCAATCGAGAGACTACACGAGGAACAATTGATGGCTTGATCAAAGCTATTGAGGAGGTCGGAAACGACGACTTATGAGCTAGATGGGTAAAGCCATCTTTCGATCCTGGCCTTTTGGTCAATGGTGATTATGATGGTACTTTGCCCAGGTGAAGATATCGGTCCAATGCGTGTCAAAGCGAATGCGGAGGAGTTTTCCATTCAGTGCTTCGTGGCTTGATATTTGACCCTGCTAGGAATGCTGCCAAAATAGATATGTCTCGTTCTGACATGGTCTGGCCTCTTCGGTCTCCTGCCGCCTGAATTCGACACGGAATGTCTAATTTAAAAGATATCCCAATTCATTATTAAACTGTCGTCTATTACGCTTGTGATGGCATTCGTTGCTAGATTATGTGCGATGTGCAAGCTAGCTGTGCACGGGCGAGGCAGAAGCAGTCACCATAAAGCATTTATCGCCTTCCGTGAGACCAAAAAATATGGATGCCCGATTTGCACTCGGATCTGGACCAGGCTGTTTCCTGAATGTTATCTCATTCCCTCCATGGATGAAGGAATCAACATCTCCCATTACTTTGTGCCAACAAAAGATATTGAAAAGGAACTTGTCAAATGGCGATTTGACATAAAGACCGACCAGAGGGAAGTAGAGCACCAGATAGAGTTTGGCCTAAGCAAGGACGAGACAGAGAAGTATATAGGTTCTCCAGTCTCCTGGGGAATAATATTCATTAAGGGAAAGAAATGGTAAACTCAAAAGCGGGCACTTGTCAAACCTTGCCTTGCTTTTGCCCTCCCTTGGCAACAGAAACGCCAATCTGAGGTCGGGCAGGAGCGCAGCATCGAGCTTAAGATTTGGTCCTTACCCCTTCAACATTTATACTTATGAAGACGATTGTGATGCTGGGAAAGCCCAAAGCAGGCTACGGATGTTCTTTGCATGCCGCTATTGATGGAACATGTGGGTTGGGTGCATCTGATAAACTGATCGTCGATCCCAGTCCACATGGGTATCCCGAGCGACATTTCGTGAGGGTTGGGAAGTTCAGCTTCTCACTCCGGGTGGAAATCACCCGGATTTTGAAGAGATTCGGTTGAAACTTGAGGAGCATGAGAAGAGGACCATCGTGCTTGTATAATTTTCTCTCTGTCACGAAAGGGAGAGGGGGAGGCAGAATTTTTACTGGCTTTCTCTAAGATTGGCTTGAAAACGATCTTGGGGTTTGGGTCGCGGCTGCATCGGTGGGGATAGGGGGAGAAGTTCAAGACTCCACTTCTATAACGAGGTTGGGACTTGGGGTCGTCGCATACTTTCTCATAGCGGTGAGTTCGCAATTCACTCCTCATTTTGCGAAGGAAATTGTGTTTCTTCAGAGATGAGAGAGTCGAAATGAGTAACAAGATTTAACTGGAGGTCAGGTGACGAGAATTCAGGAGTAGCACTTATTGAACTAGCTAAAGCAATATAGCTAGGGTCACGTGCTTGCAATGTAAACCAAGTAAAACGTACTGAATTGACTGCTGTTCTACAGTGGTAAGTAGCCCGTATATATAGCCCTGAACCCCCTAAATCACATGCACTAAACCCCTATGCCAGCTGAACCGATTCCAGCTATACAGGGTATTCCAGCTATACAGGGTATTCTAGCTGTACAGGGTATTCCAGCCGTACAGGGTATTCCAGCCGTACAGGGTATTCCAGCTATACAGGGTATTCCAGCTGGACAGGGTATTAAGCTAGTGTACAGCCCCATGGCGTTCGGTTCCAGGGCTTACTAAGCCTATTAGGGGCCTCAGGCCCCTAATTTCAACAGCACTGTAGTGAATGGTGAATCAAGCGAGCCCCTAAACCCCAAAGAACCTGACCACCCAAGAACGATTGTGACACCGCAGGATTCGATTTCGGTCCCTATGTGGAGCGGCGTGTATGTGGCCTTTCAGTTACCGAAAGCGAAAGCCTCGAAAGAAGCAAGTTGTTAGAATCTTCTAATCGTTCAACTAACGTCCTCTTTTCAAAGGCATCAGACTCCCTCAGTAGCCAGAACTAATTGCTCTTTTGTTTCAAAAATCGACCGCATTCGCTTTTGCTTAGCCTGAAACTTCCCATCTGTATTTGCCTTCTGGAATTGCCTTCCATGGCAGATTCCATGTCTTTTGGTTATCATTCTACATTCCGAACTCGCGATTACCGAACCATCTGTTGCAAACTTCTTATTTAAATGCACTAGATTTGGAATGAAATTAATTTAAGCTCTACAGGCTCAAGCGATATTATCAACATCTTTTCTCTTCTCCATCCACAACGAGACGTCTGTGTGTCAAGCGAATCCTGAAATTTGGATAGTCCAATGTTCTCAACTTCTCGTGAACGAGCGCGCACTGCAAAATGATAACCCCCAACCACTGCGAAACCATTTCACGAAGCTCCGACAATAAAAGCTAACAGAGTGCAACTTGTCTTTAAGTAACAAAGCTGCAGCATGTTGAATTGATGGCAAAGGATAAATATAGCCTATTATCAAGCCCTGTCTCCCCTGAAATTCCCCGCAAGTCGCTAAGAATAGGCACTTGCCCGATGCAGTCAAGCCTGACTGAGCCTAATTCACCCCACTCTGTCTGACCTCCTTCATCCATCTCTCATCTTCAACACCAGCATCGGACGAACAATCTCGAGCACTGAGCCGCAACGACGAGCACTGGACACATCAATTATGCGGCAAGGTATTGGGGATAGTCATGAGGACTGGGAGAGAATCGATGTTGACAAGAAGCGAAAACCGCCAACATTCTCTGGAGACGAGTATCATGAGACAATGCGGGAAAGAATCGATCGAGTCAGCGAGGATCTAAAGGATCTTCAAGCCTTCTACAACATTGAGATTTCTGACACTCGGAAAGCTCGACTGAAGGAGTATCTCGAGGAAGCGCTCGCAGATCTGAGAGAAACGTCATTCAGAGCCTACGACCAGCAAGGGAAGATTGATTTTTTGCTTCTGCAGAACTTTCTACGCAAGGGACTGAAACAACTCGAACTTGACGAAAAGAAGGATGAGAAAATGGGGCCGTTGGTTCCATTTGCTGGGACGATTGCGAAGCTTTGCGAGGACAGGCAGATGATGAAACCTGTGGACGGGGAAATGGCTGCGAACGATCTATTCCAGGTCTCGAAACAGATTGCGAAAGTGAAGATCGAAGTGACAGAGGGAAAGGCGAAGGTGGATAAGACGAGTGCTTTCAGAGCTGCTAATGCGGTCGAAAGGCTGCGTTGGCATCTCGCGGAATGGTTTGGGTTCTTCAAGGGGTATGATCCAATGTTTACTTGGTGGGTTGCTGAACCGTATGCCAAAGTCGACAAAGAGCTGGCAGAATTTTCAGCGTTGGTTCGGAAAGAATTGGTGGGTATCAAGCCGGGAGACGAAGATGCAATTGTTGGAGAGCCGATTGGAAGGCACGGATTATTGGCTGATCTGGAGTCCGAGATGATTCCTTACTCGCCTGAGGAGCTGATAGAAATTGGCGAAAAAGAGTACACTTGGTGTGAAGCTGAGATGAAGAAGGCGTCTCGCGAGTTGGGATATGGGGACGAGTGGCGAGATGCATTGGAGCATGTGAAGAGCCTTTATGTTGGACCCGGCAAGCAACCACAACTCATCCATTTCCTCGCAAGGGAAGCCATCGACTACGTCAAGAAACACAACTTAGTGACGGTACCCAGGATTGCCGAAGAAACCTGGAGAATGTTCATGATGTCCCCAGCAAGGCAAAAGGTCAACCCCTTCTTCCTGGGAGGCAAGTCAATTATCGTTTCGTACCCGGATGATACAATGGACCACGAAGCGAAGATGATGAGTATGCGAGGGAACAACATCCATTTCTCACGCTCGACGGTCTTCCACGAAATGATCCCAGGCCACCATCTCCAATTCCACATGCTTGCTCGCTATAAACCGTATCGGCAGATGTTTGATACCCCGTTCTGGATTGAAGGATGGGCTCTGTACTGGGAGATGATACTTTGGGACAGAGGATTCCCAAGTACGCCCGAGAACAAGATTGGGATGTTGTTTTGGCGGATGCACCGCTGTGCTCGCATCATCTTCTCGATTAAATTTCATCTTGGGCAGATGACGCCCCAGGAATGCATCGATATGCTTGTGGACATGGTCGGGCATGAGAAAGCCACGGCGGAGGGAGAGGTCAGACGATCTTTCAATGGGGATTATTCACCGCTGTATCAAGCGGGGTACATGCTTGGTGCTCTGCAAATATATTCTTTGAGGAAGGAGCAGATGCACAGTGGAAAGATGGGCGAGAAGCAGTTTCATGATCGGGTACTGCGGGAAAACATGATGCCGATTGAGCTTTTGAGAGCTTTGATGGAAGAGAAGGATGTGGGCCCCGACTTCAAGAGTTCTTGGAGATTTTATGAGGGCCATGAGCAGAGGGATAATTTCTCTTCTTGAAGCCGTGGCGGTGCCGAGGGAGAGAGAGCGCCTTTTGCTGCAGCTGTTTAAGACTTGATGCCCTCGAAGGAGGAGGGTTTGTGTCGCTCTCCACCAGCACATCAAGTCGGCTACACCGACACAGTGCTAAGACACGGAACGACTGGTGGACCCGGAACAATCGATTCTACCCTCTGAACTCTCTTCCCTTTCCACCAATGATTTAGGCTGCTTAGCCTCTGTGGGAGTGCTTGCAGGGGTGAACCCCACCGAAACAACACACCCTGTAGCCGCCCCTGGGACTGCGTTCCCGTCCAACCGACGGGAACCCCCCCTGAAATACCTGACAGAAATGATTGAAGTGTCCCGACAGTCTGGTTCCCCAACCCCCAACCCTCGGCCCGATGAGCTGTCTCTGAATGTCTCAAGACAACGGCCCCACTTGTTTCCACCCCTGGTTTGTCGGCGGCGCAATCAACTTACCTCTGAAGAAGTTTTGTGCTTGCTGACCGCTTTTGTTCGTCTCATTCTCTTGTCTTCCTTCGTTTGACAAAGGAGCTTCTCGAGATGCCGATACCGAGTTCGCCTGTGGAAGCTCGGGGGATTATTAAAGAAATTGCGGAGGAATATGGCTGGATCAGTCAGGCAGACCGAGAGCAAACACCCCAAAACGTTTTGCAAGCCCTCTCAAATCTGCAAAATGGACTCGGATCTGCTGCTCGAACGTGAGGTTGATCTTGTGTTCTCGAGAACATGCTTACTAACTGCGGTTAGGCTCGCGACAAACCTATACAAGAGTAATACAAGATTCCTCTTTGAGTTAATACAAAACGCCGAGGACAATAGTTATTCCAGGGCCAAGGCTGCAGGCGCAGAGCCATACATCAAATTCACCATTCGGCCCAATCGGATTATCATCGATTCTAATGAAGATGGCTTCACTACCGATAATGTCCGAGCCATTTGCAAAATTGGTGAGAGCACGAAGATAAGGACGGGTTCTCAGTACTACATTGGTGAAAAGGGGATCGGGTTCAAGTCAGTATTCATGGTGGCGTCCAAAGTGCATATTCAATCCCCGCCATGGTCATTCTCATTCAACCACAAAGAGCGGGACAGTGGGATGGGAATGGTCACCCCAGAGTGGGAGTCGGATGATGTTCTCTTGGAGGAACCTCTCACGAGAATTACGTTGACCCTTATCGACTCCGTCGATCTCGATGACCTCCTTTCTCAGTTCGACGATCTTCCCAGCACAGTACTTTTGTTTCTGAATAAGTTGGGCAAAATCATCATCGACGAAGATGTGCAAGAAAACCAAGATATCCACCGCGACGCTGATGGGCAATGGGATGAGCATTCTCAAGATGATGAAGAATTTTTCAGCTTTGATGATGAAGACGAGGGTAATGATGACGACGGCGACGGCGATGATGGTGACGACGATGATGAGAAGAACCAGAATTTACAAGAGAGGCAGCCGAAGATGCGGGTGAAATGTATCACCACCTATTCCTGCGACTTCGATCAGAATATCAAGAGGGCCAAGGTGACCGTGTTAAGGCATAGAATTATGAGGCCAGACTCATATTCAGAAGATTATCGTATCACTCGAAAATCACTGTCCAACTTGCCAACCGGTACCCACCACGATTACAATACGGCTGAAGTCATTCTCGGTTTCCCTGTCCATAATTTCTTAGGAGACGACCGGCCTCATATTAGGCCTCAACAAGTCTATGCTTACTTACCAATACGAGATTTCGGATTTCCGGTAAGTGTGGTAGAGTGGGGGGGGTTTCAGCATGTTGACTTCGAATAGTTCATTATCCACTCAGATTTTGTCACGCAGGCGAGTCGAGAGGATATCATGGAAAACGCGAGAAATACAGCAATACTTGACGGTGTGGCTGAGGCGTTTGTGGATGCAGTGGTGCAGTTCTGTCAGCAGCAAGTTCTCCAGTATCGTTGGATGCACTACCTTCCAGAGGATGATCGGGTCTCAAGCCCTTTCTGGTCTCGACTTTTGATTCGAATAAAGGAGAGAATCAAGGAAACCCCGATCCTCTGGCCAAGAAGCAGGACTGGGCTTCGACTCATCAGCCAACTGAGGATTCTCCCCAAAAGGTTTCGAGACCACAACGGTGAGCCTCTAGTTGCCGACTTACCAGAGATAAATCGAGAGAGGTATTTGGATCCAAACTATGACCTTAAAGTCAACAATGCGCTCTCGAAACTCAAGACTCTCGGCTTGGCAGAGATGAATACCTACGATTTTATTGAAAGAATTGGTCGAGACGCCAATTCCTTAGTTTCCAGAATGAAGTCAGCCGATGACAGCTGGCACGAGCGTGTTGCACATATACTTCTACCAGTTTTGGAGAAAGATCTTTCAAAGAAGGCAATCACATATATAAGGCATCTGCCTCTGATCCCTCTTGGAGATCACCGGTGGGTTTCGATTACCACCGATGAGGTTTACTTCCGGGAAACCGATGGCATGCCAATACCTTCAGACCTTGGTTTAAGACTTGTCGATTCCAAGGCAGCATTAAATGCCACGAGAAAGAAATTGTTTGTTGAACTCGGAGTCATTGATGCGAGTAAAGAGCACATAAAAATGTTGATTTTGAACAAGCACAAGAAATTTCGGGAAAACATCACCCTCGATTCTTCCGCTGGACACCTCAATTATCTCTATTGGACCGATAATCAGTCTGGTAATACCGTGCTTCGAAAGTTGTCACCATTCTCCTTGTTCAACAATCGAAATATCGCCGTGGATGGCGAGCATGACCTGTACTTTCAGACAGACAAGAAATATGGTATCCAGGAATATTTTAACCTCGCCCTTGAAGATACCCAAGGAAGTGATCCATTCGGTTCCTTTATCAACAAACGATACTTTGAGTCAGCCCCGGGCAGAAAGAAAGGGTCCGATTCCCTCTCCTTCGAGGCCTGGTTACAGCGTTTCGTTGGGATTTTGAGGTCTCCTAGACTCAACAACCCGAAGAATCCTCACAAGCTGTCGAAAGTATTCTCCTATATCGTTACAAAACATCCCGAACGGTTGCTCGGAACATTGAAAGCACACTGGAGCAGTGAGTACAAGTTCACAATTAACGATGAACTAACAAAAAAGCTTTCTGAAGTTGTCATTCCTTCTACAAATATTGGCAGGAAAAAACTTCAGGAAACATTTTTGCCCTTGAAAGAGCTCGTTACACATTGCAAGCAGTTCCTCGACCCTGAAATCTTTCCATTTCTTATTTTGGATGATGATTCCGGCATTGAACAATGGAAGTTCCTTGAGATCTTCGGTATCGGTATGGAAAGTAACCTCGACTTCTATCTGGAAATCCTGCGTCGATTCAAAGAGAAGAAAGTAGCTTTTTCTTACAGAATATACGAGGAAATACAGAGGAAAATCTGGGCTTCGAAAGAACCAACAAACCTTATAGAACACGTTAAGTATGACCAAATTAACCCTCCAAAGCCCACATTCTAGCATGATGCTAATTCTGTTCTAGGGATACTGTCCGCGATGAAGACCTAATCTTTACTCCCACTCTCCACAGAAACGACAATTGGACTTGGGAAGATGAATGCGTTTGGGATGGCCCAGCCTATTTAAGTGTAAAGTATGCCTTGCTTCCAGCTCTTTCTACTGTGAAGAGTGGAGCGCTTACTGCGTTCTTTGTGGAAACCATGGAAATCTCTGATGTTTCTACTGGCGATCTGTTAGCGGAGCTTTTAGCGATCAAAAGACACTCGCTCAAGAACAGTTCTACTCCGAATCTATGGAACGTTCGCGATATATACACTCGTCTTCAAAATATGGCTTCACCACCTACTTCCCCAAAACTCGAGACTATTAAGCAAGTAATCCCGAAAATAACACTGCCGTACGGTGATCTCTAACCGTACTGATATAATGTAGGAAGCGTTTTGAGAAGAAATCCTTCATATACGACAATCTTCGCAAGACATGGGTGGCCCCTTCATCATGTCTCTGGTCTAAGGATGCTCAAATACCGGGAAAAGTCGCAATTCTTAGTCAATATGAAGATCTGAAGGATTTCTTTGTCGGAACACTCAAAGTCAATATCCCCGACCTCGGTATGCTCGTCGACGAACTCAGCCGAGTTGTGAGCTCGAAACTCACGGTGAGTGACGTGAAGAGCCTCATTTGGCAGATCAACAGTTTCTCGCCTTCGCGCAAGGCTCTCGAGAAACTAAACACTCTCCCAATTTTCCCAGTGAAAGTCACAAACAGAGGATTGGACCCAACTGTGCTGCGAGCCAGGAAAGAGAACTTTTCAATCATCGACCGCCAGCCGTGGGCAGAGGCGTTTGAGGGTAAAATCGATGTTCTTGATTTCAAATTGGAGGAAGTTCGGAGATTACAGCCATTCTTGTCCTGTCTTAACCTGGAGAATCGATACTTGTCTCGTGTTGTAAGAGAGACGTCATCGTTCCAGGGTGGGAATGGGGAGCAAAGCAGGACACAGACGAGGCGACTGAGAAGCCGTGCACATGCGCTCGCAAGGTGAACTTCCAAATTTTCCGTCTCAATAGAAAAAGCTGAGTATTTTATAGATGTGCTGCTCATTTTGGCAGCCCTAGGATCCGTGATGATGACCTGTTCATCTACAGACTACTGCTTCGAGCGGAGATGTACCAAACCGATGGAATAGTTACGAGTTTGGTGCACACCCATCATCTCGAGACTGTAACCGTCGAAGTCCACAGGAGCAAGCTTCATATTGCTGAAAACTCTGCAAGTCTGAAAATTTACGTCCCGAAGGATCGGAAGGACCATGAACTCTGTTTCCTCCAGCTCCTGCCAACAAAGCTTTTCAATCAAGTGATCATGGGATATAAAACCGGCAACTCGACACACGCATCTGACTCCGAGGCTGTCAGAATCATCGCTGCTCTCTTCATGTCCAGCGATGAAGTAGTCTGCGATCTATTGGATGACGCAGGCATTATTCCTGTGCCGTACCCTGATGAGTTTAATATTGAAACTTCCGAGAACCCTTCGCCAACTGCCGAGCCGACCTCTCAACATGAAGATCCTCCGCCGGTTAATAAGAAAAGCAAAACACGTGAACCTTCGAAGGAACGTAGATCGCAAAGCCCACAAGAAAACACCACTTCGCCTGGACCCAAATTTTTGTCTCCGACCCCTCGTTCCTCGTACAGGACCAAACATCGAGAAGGAGCGCCAAAAGATCCTCCCATCAACTCCTTCAGCTCTCGTCCTTCTACACCTCAGAGTGACGATTCTGTGCCATTTTCGGCCAACAGTGGACAAGCAGAATATCGACGATTACTCAACAATGTCATCGCAGCGGCGAAGAGTAAAAAGGGTGGATTTCCCGCTCGGGGAGCATTCCGCCTCGATGATTTGCTCAATGCGCTCCCCACCGAATCAGATGCCGAGCCAGTTTCATATGACTTGCCGTTCGGCGTTAGGAGTGAGAACCAGCTTGCTCATGACATGAAAGTGGGAGCAGCTGGGGAACTATACGTAAGATCCCAAGCGGCAATTATTCTCGTTTCACACTGATTCATCAATAGGTGTTTGAAATTCTGTCCCGATTGGAAATCCGCCTCCCTGGGTTTGGTCGCGATAACTGGCAGAGCACTATTCGCCGACATGTGAAAGTCCACGAAGATTACAATGATATGGAGGCATGGAAAGGGGCAGAAACTGCTGACATTACTTACGACGATAATAAAGGAGAGCTCACCAAGCTCCTTGTGGCAAACGGGTATTTGGACAATATTTGGATCGGTGCCAAGCCAAAATACTACCTTGAAGTGAAGACGACTATCAAGGAATGTGGTACCAGGTTCTTTGTGAGTAAGAGCCAATATCAAAGGGTACGTGGATTAAGATCAAAGGGCATGAACCTTAGAGGCTAATAGTTGTAGATGGAACGGATGAGATTGATAACGGGAGAGGTGTCTCTTGAGGTTTACATCATCTTTCGTGTGTTCAATCTCGACAAAGAAACCATCGATATGCGAGTCTATGTGGATCCGAAGGGGATTGAGGAAGGTGGCGATCTGATTTTCACTCCGGAATCGTACTCGGTCCTGCCAGCAGGAAGCATCAGCACTTGATTTGAGAAGTTTCACGTTCATGGTATAGTTTGAATCCCAGCTTTTAAGACACTTAATTCCACCCCATATTTCGCATGTGTCCTCCCCCAACCTTCCCATGTCTTGGCCACAACCAAGCTACCAAAGCAATTATAATACTCGTGATGCCGACTCCAACCCGAACTCCTATCGCTATCTTGTCACTCATTTTCAGACCTGCAGAGCCTTTGCTGCACGCACTTCCTGAATTTCCAGTATTCGCGGAAGTTGGCGACGATCTCCCAACAGTCGTCGTTGAAGCCGAAGTTTTCGAACTGATTGCGGCATTCGTTCCTTGAGCTGGGCTTGTCGCCACCCCCGCAATTCTTGTGGCAGTAGCGGTAAACGTGCTTGTCGGCTGAGGATTATTCGCCGGATCGTCGCAAGTGAACATTACGCTGGCAATAAGAAGTGTTGCAGAGTACCGAAGGCATATGTCTTGGAGGAAACCTTTCACCTGTTGGGCACAGATGCTGTCTTCGTACCCGATGAGGTTGGAGTTAGTGTTGCCCAATAACAATAATTTCGGCAGTTGAAGCAGTGCTTCGTTAGTTTTTGATCCAAAGTCATGTCTGCAGTGGAGAAAAAAACTCGAGATGTCTGAAAGTGGAAGTTCCTGCACAGGGAAAATAAGCCTTACATTATCATGTCCGCAGTGCTGTCGTTGGGGCATGCTGGGTAACAATCTATTACGACTCCATAGAGGCCTACGGGTACATACAGGTGGATAGGTCAAATGAGACTTGAGGTAGAGCTGTGCTTGCCTTATTGCAGGAGGCATCGAAGAAGAGAACAAGTTCGCCCGCTTCTGCGAGAGTGTGAGCGGGCAGGAGAACCAAGATAGGGAAGAAACAGAGGATGGGTACGACGCTGAAAAGGGTCATATTGGGAGAACCAAGTGCATCTGAGGAATTTTGACACGCGTAACAGAGAAAGAGGAGTAAGAAGCACGCGTCAAATGGCAAAGCGATCCCGCTTTGTACAGTTGTACCCCTCTCAGCGGATCGACACATCCTTTTGCTGGAGAGCGTTGCAACTTGCAAGCCGGCATCCTTCTGCCCCTTGACTCTGCGCCGGCGCTTACCCCCTTTTGTTCAACATTCCCGTCTTCTGATTCGATGGCTCACCCGCAGCTGCAGACGGGGAAATAGAAGTAAAGGGGCCCCGTGTTGTACTTCTTTTGTACACGGCGGCCGAGAGGCTGCTTCAAAATGTCTCAGCCACATTCAGCCTTGTTCAGAAGTGATTGCCACTCGCAAGGCCCAAAAGAGTTGGTCCGACCTTTCTCATGCGTGGCGTTACGTGGTTTGGCGCCACCGGAGCGGGAGATCGCGAGCTGACAGCCACTTCGTAGCAACAGCACGAGGTTGCAGGCCCCTTTCTTACGTTTTGGAAACCTTCAGGATGGAGATTTCAGACAAAAAGCCCTGTTTGGGAGTCGAGATTTGGATATCATTTCCCGGTCACGTGTTTGATGCCTTTGAAAGGGTGACTTCCCTCACTGACTGGAACTGCTTTGCAGCGATCTTTATACACAAGTCAGTCCTCGGAAAAACGTCATAGATTCAAAAATAGAGCCCAAGGGAAGGAGGAATCTTTGCCTCATCCTTACTGTTGAGTTCAGCGAAGATTCCAATGAAACACCTTTGACCCGCGGATCCGGAGTCCAGCACAGGATTCTCTGGATCTTATTATAAACAGCCCGAGGGTGTATAGGGAGCACGCCACTAAACTTTAACTTCGCTTTTCTTTGAGGTCATTGGAATGTCACTCGTCGGGAAGATATCGAAGATCATTGCCCCTTTAACTCTCGCTTACGGATAATACCCGAGTCGGCGATAGTCGGTCCTTAATCGCATCCGAAGTTTCCAAGCTTGACTTTCCGGCTGCAGCTCTGAATGGACTTGCAAATCAAGACTTTGCAGTTCGTAAGCAATGGTGTCGCCGCTGACATTCGGAAGCCGTCGAATCCGTGTAGCACACAGCGCTGTTCTCCAAAGCTCGTTCATCAAATCACGATCAGGACCGCCTATGCACCTAGGAAGGTATTGTAGGCAGTCTGTCACCAACGGTATATCTCCGTGGGTCTCAAGCTAAGATCTGACTCAGGCTCGTACCTAGGTGGAACCACGTGAATCTGCGGTAAAGCATCATGTATGCTTGTTCTGGCTAGTCGCCTGCAATTGAGGCTCATGGAATGTCATTGCGGTCTTCGGAACTTTGCTCTTCATCTGCATCGTATATCGAGCTGCGTGTTTTCTAAGATTCAGTGGCGATGTGAGAGGTTCACAGAGGAAAATTCTGAGGCCGTCACTCGTGTTCATGCAGGTCTTTACGGATCTCAAGTGATCCGAATTCATGATAACCATGCTGTCTACTCGTAAGCCATGTCGAGACTGTTCAAGAAAGAGTATATAAAACCTCTATGATTTCAGCGTTCCCGGAAATTTGCTCAAACCAACTCACTTCGAACCATCCTCCTACACTGGCTCGAGAGAAATTTGGCGAAGATGTGGACATCAACTTTGTTAATTGCAGCCTCGGCAGCAATAGTTGTCGGCGCCTCCCTCCCACCCGTGACTTCAGCACCTACCGACCTCTCATCATGCTCCGCTCAAATGGACGGCAAGCTTCCATACTACCAACCACAGGGGTTTAACTTCAGCGGGACTATCCGTCGCTACTATGTCGCTGCTGAAGTTGAAACTTGGAACTATGCACCGTCTGGTAAGCCGCCACCTCCCAAAAAGCCCTTCGCATCCACGAACCTTGTTGACGAAGAGTGCAGGCTGGGACAACTGGCTTGGCGTCCCAATGAACGAGTCCTTCCGGGCTCAAACATGGGGCTACCTTGCTTCAAACACCAGCATCGGGACGACCTACGACAAAGCCTTGTATCGAGGATACACTGGACCCGATTTCACTGAGCAGAGTGAACAGCCAGATTGGCTTGGCTTCAATGGCCCTATTTTGAGAGGGGAGGTTGGAGATATGATTGAGGTACGTCCTCCCCCCCTTTCCCATTCTTGCCGTAATGTAAATGGACTTTGTGCTGACTTAATATGGCTATCTAGATAATGTTCGTGAACAAATTAGATCCATTTTATGCAACAATGCATTCAATGGGTCTCTTCTACACCAAAGACAGCGAAGGTTCTCTGTATCCCAACGGTACCAATGAATTCGCACCCGGGAATGCTGTTGCACCTGGAGGCTGCGTGGTTTACAAGTGGCTCATCCCACCAGCATCCGCCCCCGACGCAGGCGAAAACTCTAAGCTTTGGGCCTACCACAGCTATATCAGCATGTATGAAGACACAGACGCTGGTCTCACTGGTCCCGTAATCGTCTACAACCCCGGTACGATGAATGCCACCATGGCCAAGAACAGAGAATTCATCCTCTTTTACGGAGACAACCAGGAGAGTAATTCCTTCCTTGCGATGCATAATGTGATGAAGTATTTGCCTGGTTTGGCGGGGAGTGTCATGAATGAGACGAGCACGTATCCGGCGATGCAGCAGGGAAATGAGAGTTATTGGTATCCGCAGGAGGTTAATAGTCCGCTTACGAACGTCGATACTTCTGTTGCGGCGAATTTCTTCCCCGTGAGTTGCCATTTTACATCCTATACATGCTTTGGTGGATTTTAGAGGGAGAGGAATCGATAACTGACAAATCCCAGATCAACGGCTTCATCTTTTCTAACAACCCGCCCTTCAGCATGTGCATCAACGACGCCGCCATCTTCTACATCATGGATATGGGTTTTGACACCCACGTTGCACACTGGCACGGCAACAATGTGCTCCATAATGGAGTCATGATGGCGAGCGTACCAATCAATCCCGGCCAGATGCTGACCACACATATGACCGCTACGAATCCGGGGCTCTGGCAGGTCATTTGTCATTTTAATACGCATTTGAGCAAGGGGATGGAGGCGTGGTATCGGATTTATGCGCCGTGGGAGAAGTGTCCTTTGGTGCCGCTTGAGAGTTGAGATTTGAGGCAGTAGGGTAGAGTGGGTAGTCAGGGAAAGGAGGAGAGTTTGGTGGTAGCAGTGGTAATTGTGTATAAAATGGAAGTTGAGAGGTGACTGATGAGTTTGAATTACTTCCTCGTGAAATGCAGATGGAAGGAAAGCAGAATAGATGATATCAAAGGACGATTTATCGTATGTCAAACCGCCTATGTAGCTTGTCTGCTTTCCAAAGCTCCATCGCCCCGCCGTCCATGAAGCCGTGAACATAGCATTCTCCTACATATAGGACGACATTGTCACTACGATGGAGAGGGTAAAGGGTTCCCCCTCCGAACAACAGCTAGTTATTACTCTTGGGCAGTGTTCTCAAACTCCCGACGTAGTAAAGGACCGAGCCTTCGTGCTCCTGGCCTTGATATGTCGACCAGCCTTCCTAGCACAAAGTTCAGGCAGGCACCCAAATTCCCCATCACCACTCTTGGCGCTTGGCGCTTGGGTCTGTTTGATTTAACTAGAGATGCCGCATCAAAACCATCAGCAGGCGAATTGGGTGGTGCCATTGACATAGGAAGATTTGATATTATCGACCGTAACCATTCTAGAGAATCTAAATCAGAATTGATCACGGACGGCAATGCTTCCTATATTATTTTCATGTAGATATATACAAAAATATCCCCTCCCTTTGCGCTCCATAGGCACTCTGCATCGGAAGAAATCGAGAGATACCCTTGCTACTTTGGCCTCTCCCATATTGCCAGAGCCCAAGTGTTAGGAATTAGCGTTATTGGACGGGCCAACCAACAGCTGCTGCAAAGTCGCCTTGTCATTGATGACGTTGAAATAAGGATGGCACATAGCTTCATTGGCAGTGAGGCGTTCCTAACGGACTTTAGTAACACGACAAAATTAAAATTAAACTAGCAGCTCACTTGGTGGTCGTATCTTAAAAGTTTGTCCAGGAAATCAAGCGCCTCATTGCTGACAAGTCTCTTGTTCTCGATATTCACAAAGTTTATCCAGGGCTTCTTCTCAAATTGGCCAAGGATATCGTTAACTTGAGAATGCAATTCGATCTTATATTTATCCAGGTACTCGAACAAAGCGTCCGTGCCAAGTATCTTAGAAATTCTGACGAGTAGGTCTGAGTTACAACTTCCGTGGAAGAAAGGTTCTTTACGGAAAATCATGGACGCAAACATGGCGCCCAGGCTCCACATGTCCAAACTATAATCGTATTCTTGGTAGTCAACCAAAAGCTCGGGTGCCTTCCAGCATGGGGAGGCAACGCGGACATCATATTTTGTTCCTGGATGGTAGAACTCGGCCAGACCCCAGTCGATAAGTCGAAGCTGTGCTGGGTTATGAACGCTGGTCTAAAGTCTTTCAATTTAATGTGGTTATCTCACCTTTTTGTTTTCATGGTCAATCATTACATTGTGAGGTCTTATATCTCTGTGTATAATGCCGTTACTGTGGCAAAAATCCAGAGCCTTAAGCAACTCAAGAATATAGAATCTGATATCGACGTCGCTGAATTTGGGATAGAGACTTCTGAAATCATTGTTGTCAACGTATTCAAAGATCAGTGATGGTGTTTTGCTCTGGTGCCGCTTGTTAGTCGTTGTTGGGTAGATGTGGGAAAGGACGAAATACCTGACTGTCTATAACCAAGTCGAATAAAGAAATGATATTCGGGCCCCTGGCAAGGTTTTGCAAAACCTTGACCTCTCTATTTAATATCTTCTTCTTGACGGGTTTGAGGACTTTGATAGCATATATCTGATTGTTGACGATGTTGATTCCTTCGAAAACGTCGGAATGTCTGCCCCGGCCTGTGCAATGAAATGGAATTAAGAACTCTATCTCTCTATATAATACAATATGAAATGGCTTACCAATCTTTCTCAAGATCTCGTAATTTTCCACGGAACCCCAGCCTAATTAGATAATTAGATACCCAAGATGTGATGAGAGATCGATAGAAAATAAATTTAAAGCTCACTGAGAGTGATGTTGTCATAGTCCCAGTAACTTTTAGGTACGTTCTGATTTACATCAGCATAAACCCGCGCCATCTGGCAGTGACTACTCGAAGAGCGTGTGAGTTTGTAGATGGTGATGAATGTGTTGGGTAAGGATTGTCAGGCTGACGACTGCTGCCTGCCAATGTCTTATTAAGCAGAACGGGAAAATGTAAACGACCCTTCATCCACCCACTAACCCAAAGTAGAGGCGCTCGGACAGGAACACTAAAAACCTAGCTTTTTCTTTAAATTTAATTTACTTTTTAAGAAATTAATAGAAATTAATACTTTATTTATTCTCTTGTAGCACTAATTAAGAACTATTTAAATATAAACTTTTTGCGAAATATAAATTAGTAATACTTCTTTAAATTAAAGAAAGCCTAGAAATTTAGCGAACAAGTCCCTAAACAAAGATATAAGAGCCCTACAATTTTTTTAATAAAAAAAATAGAACTTAATAAATTAGTATATAAATTCCTTTAAATTAGAATTCTATTTTAAGATATATTTTTCTTATAAGCTAAGAAGCACGTGATTATATTATAAGCCTTATAATATACTAGCTTATACTTATATTAAAAAACCTAACCTGAGGTCTTTAAGGAGCTTAAGTAGCCAATTACAAGTCGGCCCTGGCGCCCAATCGACACCCAGGGGGGGAGAGGGGTGGATGGGTGGTCGTTTTACATTTTCTGGTCTCGGCTTGCTTACGGTCATGCTGTAGTTTCAAGACAACAGCCTTAGTGATCTTTCACTTCCGATCACCACCGAAAACGGTCTCTGGCCTCTATTCTTCGGTCGCACTACCTCCGGGAAGCTAAGAAAACCCTGGAGTAAGCTCAAGGTGAATGACTTCTGCAGGTACCAATGGCGTTCCTTGCGCGGTGTTTTCTCCGGACAATTTTAAGCTCATCTTATGGCCCGAGAACATCCTGCCTTTTGTCTCGCTGGGGTCTCAAGTAAAGGGGGAGGCATTTAGTCAGGGTTATGACGTTGGGATTCACCCAGCCCATTACCAAGGGCCTTTATTGCATGTGAGTTGAACCATCAGGTGAAACGTCGTTATTTGAATATAGGCTATCTGATTGACCCTGCGTCAGACTAGTGAGGGTCATATCCGCGTAGTTGTTGACGGGCTAACGAGAAACCTGCCGTCTCAGGGCGCAAAGCGGGATGAAGCCAACGAAAGATGGGAAATGGAAGCCAATGTTCTTGATACAATCGCTACTATCGCCCATCCTCACCTGGTCCAGCCTATCGCCAGTATAACGTGTGGTCGAAAGAGCTACTTTATCTTTGAGTGGGAAGATGGCGGAAATTTGCAAGATTTCTGGTATCGCTATACCCGTTCGTACCTTCCACAAGTTACCACTGGTGGTTCGTGAAAGCGATCTGGCCATACTAGCGACTTGGCCAAGTATTTTACATAGTAAATTTGTATGGGAGGTGCTTCTGGCTGACTGGTTCGTGCATGAAGTTTGGCGAGGAACATCAATTTGGTGGTGGCCAAGTCGCTAGTATGGCCAGATCGCTTTCACGAACCACCAGTGGTAACTTGTGGAAGGTACGAACGGGTAAAAGCCCCGTTTTAGTCCTTGGCTTTGTTCGAGACGTCATTGTTGTGATTCGCGGGATAGTCGACGAGCTCGACAAGTTACATAGCCACGACGATGGTGCATTACATCATGGGATTATCAAGCCTCAAAACATCCTGCTTTTCTCACCAAAGTACGATGAGTTCGGCACTCTCAAACTCGCTGGTATGGGGTCAGCGCAGCAACACGAGATCACAACCAGAGTATGAGCCTCGCATACTGCAACAGCTTTCGGAACAATACGTTACGGGCCCCGTGAAGCGATGACAGAAGATGCCAAAGTCCCGTCGTTATGGTATCTGGTCTATGGGATGCGTTGTTCTGGAAATGCTAATCTGACTGCTTCATGGCCCTGATTCCCTTGGTGACTTCAGTCGCAACCTCATAGGCGAATTTCGCGGAGAAGTGCCTTTTTTCGCCGTGGAACGAGGGCCAAATGGCACTGTGTCTCGGCTTCATTCGGTTGTCGAGGCGAGGGTGGAGGCTATGGCGCGAGACCCGGAGTGTAACGGAAGTACTGTACTGCGCTATATGACATGTTACATATTGTGAGAGACAGGCTTCTAGTCGTCTCTCTTCCCCCAAACAGACCATCTCACTCGCTGCTGGAGGGGTTGAGACATACCCTGAATATAACCTTGGAAAACTCCGCTCCAGAGCTTGAACGAGTTCGTGTGACCACTTAAGTGGTCCTTCGAGACCTGGATGCGATTTTAGACGGGGGCAGAGACAGCTAGCACTATTGGTTCGCGGGAGCATCGCGGAAGGGGATTTCCGGGCTAGGGGATTTGCTAATGAAGGGGCCTACTAGGTTTGCTTCTGAGTTGTTGGTGCCAGATGCCAACGTGGGATGAACTAAAATATTGGTTTGAAAGGCGCCATCGATAAGCGAACCTGTTCGAAATAACGTGTCGACTCAAGATGTGATCTCACCCACCCGCGATTACCCAGATCTTGGCAATGTTGACTAACTGTTGGCTCTCTTGTGCACGTATATAGTTGGTTAGTAGGCTAAATCGGGAGCTTGAGGCCACTGCTGACCTGGTGTAATAGTCGAGCCAAAGTTGGGAGTTCTCAGTAGACAACAAAGTTTGCCACTGAGTTGGTATCCAAGATTGATCTACTACTCTTTCCCGAACAAGCTCAGTCGGCAAAATTTTGCGTACAGGGCCAGTTGATTGATATTCACGCGTCCAAACTTTGTATAAGGGATGCTCGGTCGGACCTGGAACCTTGTCCAGTGCCTGCGACTTCTCCAAAATGAGATGTGAGGCTTGGCGTCGCTTAAACCTTGAGGATAACCCAAATTTTCGGTCCGAGAGGATTGATTCCGCCTTCGTCCTTGACGATACTTACCCCGAACGGTTCTAACATATACCGAAGGCTAGCCGTGGAGGTTTTGTGTCACAGAAACCACTTCATTGTCGCAAAGCGTATCCACTGGATCACCTGGTGATTCCCAAACGGACAATAATGCTTCGAACTCCGGTGCCTGATCCAATTCCACGACTGAGAGACTGACTTCAACTGTGAAGCCTTCCCAGAAGCGATGCTCAACAGGCGACTCGATCTCGCGGTGGGAAGGTTTAGATATGCCGTATGGAGAGACAGTATGCGCAATATGTGACGGAAAGGGTTGTGTGGTAGAACGAACTTGGTTGGGGAAAACATGGTTTACGAAAAAGAGATGTCGTTTTAAAGTGAGGCTGAGAAGGCGGGTCGAAGCCGAAAGACACTAGCCGAATCTGGAACCAGTTCTCCAAACGGTCAAACCGAAGGTATTGTTACACGTAATTATTTGGATCTCATTAGATTTCGTCGTAGAGATAATGGTGGAAGAATTTTTATTCGCTTCTCCTAGAGATCTCCTCTCTATCAAGAATCATGTGCTGTTTGGCCGAAATTCTCACGTGACTTATTTGCACTGCAAAACATGTGGTTTGAAAGCGCAAAGCAGATTCGAACACTGCTGCCATTTCAGGTGCTGATAATCACCCTTGCGCTATATCTGACAAAAGTTATGTACTAAGAACTGGCTCTTAGCCGTTTATAAGCACTGATCTGCCTTTCAGGCTGCTATTTGTTCACGTGTGAATAAGCGCGTGACCTCTAAAATGGCATTTGAAAAGTTATTATTAGCACGCGATCATCAAAGCGTCGGCGATCGATATGCCATGCTATCTCGCGGACCAGGTAGGTCTAAGCAGTTTGGGCCGCTGCGGAAAGGCATCTCACACGAAAGTGCCCGAGGTAGCAGCGGATTTGTGAGCTTCAGACGCCCTAAATTGAAACCTGATCACAAAGTGCAGAGAAATTTTCTTGGCTTTCCGTTGTGCATCGGAAAAGGAGGGCGGCTTGAGTGAACTATTGGTCGCCCTCTTGGCTGCGCGAAACGCACGTTCCGCCCTTACGCGTCGCGTGGACAAACTCACTCGGTGAGAGATGAGAGATCGTGAGGGCGAACAATCGAATCAATTATAAAAACTGTCCAGAAAGCCTTTACTTATTGCTTTCAAGTTTCCGTTTCCTAAAGATCTGTTAGAAGAATTGCTTCGAGCGACGTATACCTCCGTCAGCATACCCCAAACATGGACGAGCAACATTTCTTGACCAACCCAAGCGAATATTTCTTCGATGGCGGCCTTTCTTCCTTCATCTATGAGGACGAAGCCACGGCTCCCACCTACGCTACTCGGTCCTTGTCGTACCTCGATTCCGTTCTACAAGATCCGAACAACCGTCTCAGCAAATCGTCATCGTGAGTCCATCCCTTCCAATTCCCAAGTTAACGACCGCCTGGGTAGCCTTTGCGAACAGCGCAAAGTACAAAAGCGACGACTTATTGGATCATATAACATCCAAATCAGATGATAAGTTTACGGAGCCAACTTGGCCTCATAGCCGGGTTGAAATGTCCTACTCAGAGATCAACAACCAAAACAACGTCGCAAGGGACAACGTGGCCAGCGCAAACAAGTGGTGTACCGTACACACGCTACGGATGGTAAGTGAGAAACGCTATACAATAGCCTGACTCCTGTGCACTGTAACAATAGAGCATGGCAATGTGATCTCTGAGTAAATCACCACCACGCGCTTATGGCCTTCTTCGCAATGAATTGCAAAGCCTCCGCCTGCTCTACGATAATTTCAAAATTGTCAGCGTTCAGTGCACACACCCTCGAAGCTGTCCCGAAGGGACAAGCTTGCGGGACCGAGACTCTTCGCGTCTCCTCGCATTTTTGGGTTACTAATCTGGGTTTGGGGGAGTAGAAATCACGGATATAGCTGGGATTCCTATGAGGGGGCATTGAGCATGTGTGCGTATGGGGATGGATACCAGACTTCCATGATGAGCAAAGATGCTCCGGGATTCTATTCTAAATATGATCCCTTTCTGGCTGTATTTCCACACGCCAATGATCATACGGGAGCCGGAGAGCAACTGGCCCAGTAGTAAGTTATTCAGATTTTCCCTTTATTTTATTGGACCACATCATTAACTGATGTCACAGCGGCTTACCGGCCCCGGACGAATTAGCTAGTTTCGAGACTGAAGTCACCAATTCTATGCCCATATTCGAAGCCCCATGTGCGGATGATCTGGGCAGGTAGTACGTGCCAAATGAATTTCCTTTTTCCCAAAACGACGCTGATAACATAATAGCAACGAGGCATGGGGCTTCAATGACTTCGATTTCCATGACAATCTTTTCGCAAGCATGGACTCACTGGCACCACCAGAGCAAGCGATCTCACAAGTCTCCGCACCAAAGGCAACGAGAGCAGGCTTGGCGATATTCCACCCTGGAACGTTCCACGGAACGTTCCGGCCGGTATCGACTGGTATTAGGTAATATCGGTAATGGAACGTTCCAAACGTTCCAAAATGGCAGGGGTAGGGCGATAATAACAGGGGTAGGCGAATCCACCGCTAGTTCCCCCACTATGCTCCCTTCCTTACTTTTTATCTATCCGTACGATTAATTTACCTTGAGTATATCCTCAAAATGTCTTCTTTAATTGAACCAGACCATTCTCTTGTACCATCCGAGACAGTAACGTCTTCTGCGGACCATTCAAAGAGGACTTCCCCGATTTGGAAGCATTCTCGTCGTGTATTACCTGATGAAAATGAAGCTTTACTTTATTGTTTATATTGTCAATCAGACTCTTTCCCACCACCGTACGGCACTACTACTGTAGGGAACCTCAGAAAGCATATTCTAAGGTATCATCCACTTATTACCCTTGAGCCTACTAACTCCAAGAACCAGGAGAAAGTTACTTAACAAATCCAAGGGCTTTATTATCAAGCTCAAGAACTTGGAGATATAGAGGAGTTTGATTTACAAGTTCTTGAACGGCAAATCGATTAAAGAGTCCTTATAGAAGCCTTGATTACTCTTATTATTATACGAAACCTCTCATATAATATGGTAGAATGGCCAGAGTTCCATATACTTTGCCAGCTCTTGAACAAAGCTTGTAAAGGCATGATTCCCACGTCTCACTCTACTGCTTCTATTAAGGTCAAAGAATCCTGGGTTCGGCATAAGGATACCGTACGACGAGTTCTCTAATTAGTAATCTTACATATTCATATTTCCTTGGATATTTGGACTTCCCCAAATCGCTTTCTTCTTTTGGCTATTTATACCCATTTTACCTCGTACGAGTTTAAGCGTCAAAAGGTCCTTCTCGCTCTTAAACCAGTCCGTGGCCACTCAGGAGAAGAGCAATTCTCAGTTCTCCTTCTAGTTCTGGAAGACTATGGTATTATACGAAAGCTTGGAGCTATTATAGGCGATAATGCTGGAACTAATGGGACCCTTTGCAAGGCAATTCAAGTATACTGGAAACAAGAGCTTAATATTGAGTGGAACGTATAGCAAATGCAAATTTGCTATATTAGCCATATTATTAATCTCGTAGTATAAGCTTTCTTATTCTCTGGATTAGTTGAAATGGAGGAACTTGAGTTATACGAGTAATAGGAATAGACTCAAGAGATTAGTGATGACGAGAGAAAGAGAGTCAAGTTTAGGCTCTTAGGTCTACTTGGCAAAGTACATAATATTGTGGCTCATATTCGCAAATTACCTGCTTATATGGCTAAATAGATAGGACTTGTAAAGAGGATAATTCCAATAGATAATCGTACGAGATAGAATAGCTAGTATGAAATGCTTCTTATTCTTATTGAGAAAATAGAGTATATAGATAAATATTACCGGAATTACGAGGACGATCTTATAGAGGATTTCCTATCTTATAAAGACTGGAAAAAGCTTTATATGACTAGGGACTTTCTTGCTACTTTTATACGAGCAACTCTCTTTGCGGAAGGAGATACTATTTCCATTAATCATATGCTCTTTGTAATGGATATTTTAATTAAGCACCTTCAAGAAATAATTATAAGTCTCTTGCTTTTCTTTTTTCTTCTCGTATAAGCTTAGCTAAATATAATATAGGCTGAGTTCAAGAAGAAAAAAGATAATAAGAGTAAAGAGTTCCTCGTACGGCTTGATATTATATATACTATACTTAATAAGTACTATACTAGAACCGATCTCTCTCCCTTTTATACTATGGCCTTGATTCTTAATCCAGGCTTCCGTACGAGATATATTAAGGCTAATTGGCCAAAGAAATATGTAACTCTAGCTCTCATAAGTATAAAGAAATTTTGGGAGTACTATAGAGATCAAATTATTCCTCTACTATTAAGCAATATTGCCCCTTTCTCGTACGGTAAAGAGCTATCTTAAGAGCCATTAGTACTTGACTTCTTTGATCGGATTGCTCGATCTCTTTGCTTAGTTATACGACCCGCAAGTGAGGACGAGTATGAGGATTATAACTCCCAGGAATCGTATGATATTGGCAAGCAAGGGGCCTTAGCTTGGTGGAGCCAGGATGTGTAAAGGGAACGCTGGCCAAGGCTCTCACTTATGGCTATTAATATCCTCTTAATTCCTCTAATAAGCGATGAGCCAGAGAGAGTCTTTTCAGGGGCACGCCGTATGGTAAGCTGGGATAGAGGGCAAATGGAAGCAGAGATAATGGAGATTAGAGAGTACTTAAAGTATTGGAAAAGGACTGGGATCTTGCAAACCTTCTTTGAGACTAGCTAGTTTAAAAGAGATACGTATCCTTTAAGACCCTTATATGATTAGAGAACCTTCTGGATATCGTCTAAATTTTCTAAATTTCCAAGCTATGACTTTTATTTAAAGGCTACCTTTCCCGCTTTAACTTCCTTCTTCCTTTATTAATATTACTACTGCTCGTACGAGAACCTCTTGCTCCTCTCTACTTCTCGCGATTACATCGATTATACGATAGTAATATATCAAATAATCCAGCCCCTGGTGGTAACCCCCCTGTGCAGCCTCCTGCTCCTGGCAGTGGTCCCCCTATATAGCCTCCTGCTCCTGGTCCTGGCCCTGCAAACCCAAACCAGCAGTAAGCTTTTAATCCTTGATCCTATCTATCGTACGATAGCTAATATCTTTAAAGGCTTGTTCCTTTCGTTGCTTTTGGCGCTGGTGGTGCTCCTAATCTTGGTGCAAACCAGCCTCTTCCTCAAGGCCAATGGATAATGGGTATTGCAGGCCAATAACTTGCTCCCTTCGTACGATACCTTACCCTTTACTATATAATAAAGCTAACTAGAGTATAGTGCTATAATAATCAATAATAACAAGCCCTTGCTCTTCCTGGCCAGAATGTAATCGTTAATCCAAATCGCATTGCAATTGGTCAAGTCCTTATATAGCGACAGTCCTATATTAATGCTCTTCTCATTTAACGAGGAGGGGTTAATATGACGGCTACTCCTTGTACTACGTGTGCTCGTACGGGACTTAATAATACCATTTTCCCTGAGTGTATCCGGATCGTGGGTATATGGGGTGGTTGCTGTAGCAATTGCAAGTGGCCAGATTATACTGCAAGCTGTCGCTGGGGAGGGAATGATAGTAGTGATGATAGTAATGGAGAGATTGGTACAGGAGGTCGTGGAGGACGTAGTGGACGTGGTGGACGTGGTGGAAGTAGTGGGGGTGGCCGTACGAAGCAAGGACGAATTACATAACGTGGTATAGTAAGAAAGACTCCTCGTGGCAGTAGAGTTACTGGCAGTAGTACTACGGCTTAATAAAGGCCTTTCTGAGGTTATACGATGGTTTTTAGCCTCTCAATAGCATAATTAATGGAAGTTCCTTACAAAATAACGAGAATCTACAGGGATTAGCTCGCTTAGGAACGATTGGAACGTTCCATTACCGCCCGTTCCAGACCCCTGGAACGAATCGGCAGAAACCGATTGGTCCGGAATATCGCCAAGCCTGAACGAGAGGCTCCACACGAAATTCATTTAAGCGAACTTCTGATGTACTCGACCGACACAGTGGCAAAAAACGCGCTGTGTGCCCCGTTCTTGGTTGTAGAACTTCATTGAGCAGGGAATCGGATGTCCTAAGACACATCAGAACTATCCATGGCAGCAGAGAGAGGCTCCTCTGTGATGTCCCTGGCTGCAAGAAATCTTTCTCACGAAGCGACAAGTTGAGGAGTCATAAAAAAAGGGAGCATGGCCCCCGAAGGACGGCCAGGACCAACTGTTGAGGTCTGCTCCACGTGAGAAATAACGATATGCTTCTTGGGAACGAGTTAGTGTTATACAGAACTGATAATGGAATTTGATTGGTATTGGGACATTTTGGGTATGGATCTGGCAGTATTTGGCGATGTCGTAGGCAAACTGGTAGAATGGACAGGCTCCCCTTTATGATGTCCGCCTTAATTCTGTGCCTGATATGTGGTGGCACAGCACGTTTCCTTGATTTTTCCAGCCGCTGCCCGTTTTTCTTGAGCCAGGCTATCTCGCTCACTCCTTTCTTAACTACGGTGGGCTTGTCATAAATGTTAGCGATGTGGCCGTCTTCCTTGATTTGGCGATGACTTCCGGGGACAAGACTCCGCATAGAATGTGCCTTGTAAACTTCTACCTGATTCATTGGAATTACGACACGTCTTCTAGAATTTTCTCTTCGCAATCTCACAATACAGGCTGCCTTTAATCATTTGCTGCAACGCCGTAATAATTGGCAGCGTCCGACGATGGTGTGCATCTGATTATCAAGATATTGAGTTACAAGAACCGAATGTGCTATGGAATTTCTAAAAGACGCGTTGGTCAATAGTGTTGAAGAAAAATTTAGTGGCCTCGCCCTCAACTTCTACCGCAGCCTGTTTGATTTTAAAAATGTCTTTCCCTGTCACAGATTGCCTCACTTCGCCTTCGGAATCGGAAACTGATTGAAAAAACAGCGCCCCAGCCTGGTTGACAAATCCGCAGTCCTGCTTCCCCTGGCCTTGTGACTGCGAATTTCCAGAAACGTACGGGTCTGGCCTCGACGTAGCTTGGTTTATCATGAACTTGATGCTCTTGACATTGCCCTTGAACTTGAGGCCGTTCTGGGTGACGTCGTATAGAGGCTTCCCCTCCCGACCCTGATTCTCCCGATGATAACTCCTATCAATAGGGATTATGTGAACAGAAGTGTTGGTTGTAATCACCTGTGCAGCACTTCCGTCGGATGTTGTTGTGAAGTGATACTGCCTTTCTTCAGTATCACCCGGGCCTGTCTCGAATGCTAGGTCGTCTTAGAAACCCGGTTCAGTGATTATTTTCTTCCTTTCTTTTCCTCTGTGCCAAAAACAGGACGGGTATGAAGACTGACCGGCTCTGACTAACTCAGAAGTGCTTTCAATTTTGTTAGTTTTGCAATCTTTCGACGTCTGGAGTGCAAAAAATGCTTACAGGCCGTATGTCCGGGGGCGGGACGCCATGGTCCTCTCGGCCGAAGCCCTGCGTGGGCTCTCCACAAGAGCCTCATCAAGAAATAGTGCCTCATCCACCTCGGTGTTCATTTCTTCAGGAGATAAATTGACTCTTCCTTCAGACATGGTTTCGAGCACGGCAGTCTTTTGCAGTAAGGGGAGGTTTCAAGGTGAGTATTGGAGAGCCTGACTTGAAGAAAAGAATCAACTTTTGGATTCCTTCACCGGGAGTCCATGCCGAGCCTGATGGCTGACTTGATCATGCCCAAAATCTGCCTTTGCCAATGTGCTTTTCTTTTTCCCTCACTTTTCATACCCGCCAACTTCCGACTGGATGGGGAACTTCATGAGTCAAGCCGCCGCCCCATGAACATGCAAGAACAAACCCCAGCCAATTGTCCTTATTGAACAGACCACGAAGCCTAGTGTGGGTGCGGGGGCGGACATGATCTAGTCAGAGCTCATCGGGGTGCATATCCCTAAGACGCATCAGGATCTGTCTACTAACGCAACCGTGTAACTAATATAATGTTTAGTGTGCTTCTCTATAGTATTTTATCAATATCGAAGGACCGTTAGGCGAATCCAAGGAGAGGCAGTAAAAGCCAGAATTCGTGACTATAATTCAAGGCTAGGATCTAACTCGTTTCACTCACCGAGTACGCCATTTTACGCCATTTTACGCCATTTTAGAGAATGTTTCCCAAGAAACCGGTTTTTGAAAAGACACGGGAAGCCAACCTGTCACTCACCTCCTTTGAATAGACTACTAGGTTTAGATAAGAACATGGTTGGGTTTTCAGACCTGTTGCCGCTGGGAATGTAGTGCTGCCCAGCCGAATTAGGTCAACCTGGCTGATGGAACCTAACAGACCAAAGAGTCACGAACTTCCAGGACCACTACTCCTAGTAAGGTCTGATCCCTCTGGCATCACTTGCAGGACAAAAGAATCCCGAGGTGCAGGAAGTTGACACAGATTTCGGATGAAGAGGTCTCGTTTCGAAGTGAGGCTGAGAAGGATGCAACGAGGTTGGTGGCTAAACGCTACTAGCCGGATCTGGAACCCCGCTTTCCAACGCAAGAGATCACGAGCGACGGTTGGTTTTCAAACTAAAGTGTAAAAGAAAGAAGTTTGACTTCAGTTCGACCCAAGAGACTTGTTGAATTAGGGGGCTTCCTGTCCAAGCCAGGAGACGATTAAATATCACGTGATCGGCATGAATAATGTCACGGAAGACGCATGCTTGTCGATACGAACTGGGTAGTCAATAAGAAATGGCGAAGTGATTAATCGGCCATATTTTTTCAAATGGATAGAAGATGCATGATGCAGTTTGTAGTGACAAGGCTGCAACTCAGATCGGATCTTTGAGTGCAGGCTGGCTGCAGAACCGGCTAGGTCTGAGGATAAATGACCACAGCTCGTCTCCAGGCACTGTGTCAAAGGAATACTCAAACTACTTAAGTTACTTAAGTAGATACTCAAGGAGTATCGAGTAGAGTATAAGTAGGATATATTTTGGTTGAGTAGAGTATGAGTAGGACCCACTACTCTACTCTATTCTACTCATATGACACACTGTCTCCAGGGTAGTTTCAAGATCTGAATGCGAATTGGCCATAGATCAAGGATTACTGATTGACCGGATAGTCATGAAATATGATTAATGATATGATTAGATTTCATTCACGGTTGAAGCTCAGTTGACAAAGGTGAGCGACAATTCCAAATAGTATGGCAGCAAGAAGATATATTTCCATCTAAACCGCTAGGCACTAAAAGCCCCGTCTAACTTCATCCTCCCACCTGCCAAACATGTAATTACATATCCTTTCCTCAATCCTCCTCCATTCTCTATATCGATTTATGCACCGTTCGAAGCCGCTATTTCTTATTAGCATCCGCCTGTACTTGACGAGAAATTGGGGTTCTTACCTTTGTAGACTTGAGTAGCGTCGAAACCAACGACGGTACCAGCTTGGGTTGACATGGCAGCAGCCTCTCCGTTGGGCTGTGCTTGTGTTGATTGCGCTGTAGAATTAAAGTTAGTTTCATGATCCATTGATCTTCGTAATGTTGGTGGGGTTGTGGATGCATCCACCGCGGAGAGGGACTTGATCCATTCACCATCAACAAGATCTAGGGTGAAGTTGGAGGGAGAGATGAATGGGAGGACGTACCAATGGGAGCAGCAAAGGCAACAGCTACGAGGGACAGAAGAGCAAAGACGGTGAATTGCATGTTTGCGGTTTGGAAGTAGGAGACCTTGAACTGAAGGGAGATAAAAAAGGTCGTCCGGCGACAGAAGCGTACAAGAAAATATGAAAGTTGGAGGTAGGAAACGGAAAGAGCGTTTATCAGATGAGAGATGAGATGGGAGGAGATCAAGATCAAGATAAGATGGGAGAAGGGGGTTAGTATTTGTATTGCCAAGGAGATTTCGTTCCCGTGACTTCCAGGGGAGGGTCCCGCAAGTAGCAGGGGAGCTGGGGGACTGGCCCGGCTGTCATCCCAATGTGGTGCGAAGCGCGTTGCAAAAAGTCTTGAAGCAGCGTGGTCTTGGCTGTGGCCCACATTTCAAGCTTGTCCGAGGCTGATCAGGGTCTGGTGCGACTGGTGTTGTTTGGAGGTAAGGTTGTTCATTGAGTCGTCTCCGAGGATTTTCTCTCGCCAGCATTGGCATTGGTCAGAGGAATCCTATTTGTTCTGCTTTTAGAATTGTGGGCCGGTTAAAGGATGGGCTGGGAATGTTGAGATCCGGTTGTGGATGTTCCCTTGTGGTGAGACGAGGCTGAGACGGAGGCGGAGCGTTTGGCAGTCGCCAAGCGAGGAAAAATGCTTGTTTTGACGTTGTGCGCGGATGGGAAGAGGACAGTCCGAAGAATCGTTCATGCGAGGAGCGCGATGTTTTCGGATGAGCGGCCTATCTGGCGTTTGCATGGACTTGGCCGGTGGTGAAGCCTCTGATGGAGGAGGCTGTAAGATACCTTTGGGATGAACTACAGATGAGATGGCACGCGAAGCGAGACTTAAGGCACTTCAGGTTGAAGATCACGTGGAACTTCCTGCTCTAGATGTTTCCGGGGTCAGAGTAAGCTCAAAGTGATTAATATTTGCAGTTGACTTTAAATCGGATCAAACGAAGCTGAAGGAACTGCTGAAGTTGGCGATAATCACGTGTGGTTATGCGGCTGCACAACGCGGGCTTTTTATGAACGAGGCTCAGCTCCGCTTATGCAACACTAGCAGCCGGCCCAGTCTCAACCCCTCCATTTACCAACGACAATGCCATCCAGCATCCAACAACAACCTTACCTCCCCCGTACTCTACCCCCTTGACATCGGGGATCTTCACCACTTCCTCCTCAAATTGCCGCCAGGACCGCAAATCCGCACCAATCAACATGGCAACCGTCGAACACTGCCTCTTCTGTTTCGAGGCGCTATCCGCCAGCCTCGAGAAGCGCACGCCCATGACATTGTACCAGGTGCAGTCGTCCTGGACCGCCTATCCCAAGGGTCTCGACGAAGAAGATGACGACGACGAGCAACCTGAGCTAGAGTCTTTCGACTCCTCACCGCCTTCAGACAATGAGTCGGGAAAACCGTCGTCCTCGGTCCCCGTCCCCCGCAACCCTATCTTAGAACGACTCTTCAACTCCTCAAGCGGCAGCTCAACGCCAGCATCGTCTTCTTCTTCCTCATTGTCACCATCAACAAACAACACCACGCCATCTTCGTCCTCTACCTCCTTCGTTCCTATCGGGCTGCACCCCCGCCGAACCTCCCAGCGCTCCTCAAACATTACCGAATCCCCGCTCTTCATAACCGTAGGCCCTCTCTCATTTAATCCCAATTCCCAATCCCAGAACTCTGCATCCCAATCCCCAATTCAAGCAAGCTAACCCTCCCTCTCCAGTGGAACACCATCTCGCCCTCCTCCTCAAAGTCCCTACGAGGCTGCATCGGCACCTTCGAGCCCCAACCCCTCTCCTCGGGCCTCAGTTCCTACGCCCTAACCAGCGCACTCTCCGACCACCGCTTCAACCCCATCACCCTCCGCGAACTGCCCACGCTCGAAGTATCCGTCACCCTCCTCACGGACTTTGAAAATGCAAAGGACCCAATGGATTGGGAGCTCGGCGTGCACGGTATTAGGATCAGTTTCTATGCGCGGAATAAGCGGTATGGAGCTTGCTATTTGCCGGATGTGGCGCCAGAGCAGGGGTGGGATAAGGAGGAGACGATTGTGAGCTTGATGAGGAAGGCGGGGTGGGGTGGGAAGAGGGAGAAGTGGAGTGAGGTGGGGGATCTCAAAGTGGTGAGGTTTCAGGGGATGGCGGAGAGTGCCGGGTGGGAAGAGTATAAGCAGTGGCGGGATTGGGTGAAGAACGGGGAGCAAAAGAATAATTAGAGGTTGAGGTGAAGCGTGGAGTTTGCTGGGTTGCGGATTGGTATAGAGGGGTTACGGGGTAGAGGATAGGATATGATGGCGTTGGGATTTCGAGTCTTTTCTTTCCTAAGGTCTGGTTCGGACAAGTGTGCATGAACTGGACTGGTCTAATGAATCAACGGGCATGATAGTGCAATATAGAACAATTTTTACATTTCATCTCGCTTCCTTTTATCTCATCTCATTAACGTCATCAAACCTACAGAGCTCTGCAAGCCCATTAATAATACACTCTTCACGCCCCCAATCCATATATCCCCATCCCTGTGCATTCCATCTCAGTTAGCCTCCATTTACCAATTCGCCGACCGATTACCCTTCCCTAGCTTTGTACAAGAAACCCACCCCGCAACGCCTATTCCGATTACCATATACACATCACTTCCCATGCCGCTCCTCACTCATCACAACAGAAGGAGAGAAGCCGTGGTGTGTTGTCATCGCCAACACACCAACTTCCTCCAAAACGCCTTGAATCTTGCTGCCTTCCCCTCTCCTTGCTCTCCAAACCGCATCTCCTTCTCCGGACCGCCAGGCAGTGGACTCAACGGCGCCGTGACCGCCCTCCTCGTGCCGAGTAGCTGATTGTCCCCAACACTACCACTCCGGCCCTCTCCCCCATACCCCTCCACACCACCATCCAACATCATCCCCCCACCTCCACTCGCAGCTATCCTCCTCGCCTCCACCACTCTCCGGACAATCAACGCAAACGTCTCTTCGATATTAACCGTATTCCTCGCGCTCGTCTCCATGAACCCGCATCCCCTCTTCCGTGCCCATTCTAACGCAACCTGTGCAGGCACCTGGCGGGATTCTTGGAGATCGCATTTATTGCCCGCCACGATCTTAATCGGCTTCACCGGTCCACCTCCTCCCCCTCCCCCCCCCCCTCCCCCGGCATCTCTCCCCCCTCCCCTCGCCCTCCCCTTCCCCTTCGAGCCCAGCTCGCGGTTCTCGCGTTCCCACCCATCCATCCTCGTCTCCGCCTCGATATCAATCAGATCGTTGAACTCGTTCAGCACCTCCAGACTCTGCGCGTTCGTGATGTCGTACACCAGCAGGAACGCATCGCTGCGCAGGTTGGACGACGCCCACATCCCGCGGTACTCCTCTTGGCCGGCCGTGTCGGTGAGCGAGAGGTGGTAGGTCTGCCCGTCGATGCGCCGCGTCAGGGAGTAGGAGTCCTCGATCGTCGGGTCGTATTCGTGCGTCCATTGCGAGCGCACGAGACGCAGGGTGATGGAGGATTTGCCGCAGCCGCCGTCGCCGCAGATGGTTATTGTGATCCGCTGGGGGTCGGAGGTGGAGGACATTGTGCGTGAGGGTGGTGTTGTGGAGAGAGCGTGTGGTTGGTGGGGTGGGGATGGGGATGGACCCCGTGAGGGAGATGAGTCGAGTGTGTGTTTTTTGGTTTGTAAGTTCGAGGCGAGAAACGAGTGTATTCGAAGAGAGGGGTCTCGAGGAGGTGTCGAGCTTCGTCCGGTTCTGAAGTGAAGGATCGAAGGAAGCAGAATCAGGATCAGGATCAGAAATCACAATCGCCCTCCCGTCTCTCAGTTGGTGGCGTCCCTGCCCTCTCTGCGGCGTAATCTTACAACCCTCGCCCCTCCTATCTTTTCTCTCCTTCTGATCGTTCCCCTTCCGATCGTCTCGTTCGCCTTACTGTACGTTGTCGCCCTCAATTGGGTTTGTCTACTTGTGCCTGCCCTGCGGTGGTGCCTGTCGCTGATCCCGCCCGGGCGAGGAAGCCCTGTGTCTGTGTCTGCGTCTCAATCAAATCGAGAGCGCGTCGTGCAGGAACCGAATGCGGAGCGGATCTTCCCCTCCAAAAAACCCGGCAAACCCTTGTGCTCGCGTGCTCTGCACACCCTCTTTCTTATCTCTCCCCTCCCTTAAGTTCCCTTAACCCTCCAAAAAAAATATTATTTAAATTAATTTAAATTACCTCGCCTCACTTCCGGAAGTATGTCGACGGTTGAGCTGCATGCAAGGACAGGATATGCGTCGTTACATAAACGGCGCCGGTTCGTCCGTCCGTTCATTCGTTCGTTCGTTCGGGTGCGTTTCGTTTGCGCAGATGCAGGAGTGGGGGCACCCAGGAGATGGCTGGTTGAAATATCCGTAGTCCCGGGATGATTCTTGAGGTCCGTGGGTACAGGAAAGGTGGCGCATTTGCGTTTCACTCGCGAGGATTTCCTGGGGACGTTTCAATGCTGGTTACTGGACATGGGGAATCGTTGATGCCATGACGGACTGACGGGGGAAAAGTCTGGAAACGAAGGTTGGAAGATTTGGTCGAAGGTTCGATTGGGGAGGACGAGGGCTTTGGTCTTCTTTTGTGTGTGAGGAGGAGGGAGGCCTGGCTTGCTTTTTGGCGGCACTGCACTTCTTTCTTGGTGAGTTTCGCTCGCATGCTTCCTTTTGCGGGGAAGAGAAGGCAAGTTCTACTCTAAAAAAAGATTGGGAAATGCTCGTTGTGGCAGTAAACACGAAATAGGCGGGATGTAACCTTATTGCGTGAGAGGCTCCTCTCTATCCCCTCCTCTCTATCCTCTTTGAAGGGAAAACGTCGTGAGAGTTCATCTGATGAGGTTCAGTTTCAGGATGGCAGAGTTGGCCGTCACGGGGAATTCTGTCTGGTGGTGTCGACTCCTGCATTAGTGCTGTGTTGTGGATGGCTGGGAAGATTTGGGGCTGCGGCAGCTCGCTTGGAGATGCCAGTTGCGAGAAAAGGGGGAAAGCCATGGTAAGAGCACAATTTAATTTCCTCTCTTATCATTCCTCTTATATCAGTCATATAGTTCTCTTTATCATTTCCTTCCAGCTTTCTATCTGGTCTTCCCGCCTCAAGTAGTCGTTTTTCAATTACTAACTCCTTCCAAACCCCTCTTACACTTCCCCAAAAGATCGTCAAACCTGTACCTCGGCGCTTGCTAACCCCACCCTGCCAGCACCTAAATAAACCCAATAGCGCCGATCACCACGCACATCTCTACGCAATTTGCTGTTTTAACGGCCTTCCAGTTCTTCCCCTGGGTAGTTTACCAGTGAGGCGGAAATGCTTTTAATGGGTGCGAGAAAACGTGGACGCGTCCCTAGAATCTGGATGTTGTGCTGTGGCGAGCCGTGTTGAGAAAAATCACCTGAATGCTCCTAAGTGGGAGCAGATATTCGATCGTGTTTCCGGGTGTCAGATCCTATTTCTCAATTTGGTTGTGAAGTTCGCGGGTGCTTATTATGGGGTGAGAGGGTGCAGACGAGATCTTGGGGTTTGATGCACAACATCTGGTAGCTATCGTTTGAGTATCGATCACCTAGGAGTTCCCAAGTTGGAGCAGATATTCGAACTTCTTTCTGGTATCCAGTAATTGTTGCTCAATCTGTTTGCGAATTCTGCTAAAATGCTTTTTATGGGCTGAGAGGAAAACAGGGCACGAGATTTGGGGATTTGATGCCTGCATGGCATTTGGTGGCGAGCCCTTTTGAGCATGCCCACCTGAGGCTCCTGAGTATTCCTAAGTGGCACCCCCCCCTTTTGAATACTTACGGTGGGTCCTTTAGTAACGCCACCCTGAAACCTCGTTTATGACCCTCAACTAGGGAATATCAGGTGCTTTCCAGAATCGTTATTGGCTGTACACCCCTGAGATGGCCAGTGCTTGTTGGTGTTATCCTTGGGCCCACTGTAATCATTTAGGGGGAGGGGGGAAGTAGTAGATATTCTTTCTTTCGCGAGATGTCACGGGGTATGGAAGGTTTTTCTTAATTTATTTGCCACGTTGCGGGAATACTTGCTATAGGTCAGAGCAGAACGAGGCATCTGGCTTCAGATTTCATGCTTGCATTTAGATATGATCCCTAAGAGAGGATGAACGCAAGGAAGACCGCAAGCCGGGGCAGATACTTTTTCTGTTCTCTTTCAGCTGTTGTTGTATATTTTGAACATGCTTGTTCTTTTGTTTGCGGAAATGCTTCTGAGGGTTCGGGTGAGGAGGATGGTGGAATTAGCATGCTACTGCACCAGTTGCCACAATTGAGTGGTGAGAGACTTGAACTTGAGCCATGAGGAGGAACTTTTAGCACGACCAACTTATCGCGGCCAACAAGTGTGGCTGGATTCTTTGATTCCTTCTGGGGGTAAGAAAGATAACCAAAGTTGAAATCACGATATTCACTCACGTGAAGGCAAGTTCCTTCTCCATTCACATCTCGCTAGCCACCTTTCCTTCCTTTAAAACTAGGACTTGGCTTTCCTGGTCACCGAAATACAGCTTCGTATCATCAACAATCCCACACCTGCTTCATGTATGAACAAAACATCCCTCATGATTAAGACGGGACAGCCATTTCTCGAAGTTCTCCTGCATACTTTCTCGCACTCCGGTAAAGAGTGTGATGGCCGATTGAAGAAGCCGTCGCCGTGATAAAACCAGGATCAGTTGACCTCCATCCCCGCAGTTCAATTGTTGACGCTGATAAAGACAACCAGCACAGCAGCATACCTGCTTCACGATTAGCCTTATGTCAACCCCACCGATACTCGATCACTTACGCGGCAGTCGCTCCATACACCTCGATCCTCCTTGCATGCGTCAACAACGTTATAGATGCAGCGAACAAAGTAGTGAAGATTCCCACCAGCCCAAGTCGAATCCCCATGGGCTTCACGAAATGCAGCGACATGATCGCTCCCACCAGCAACGCCGCTGAAACCAGAATGCTTATCAAGCCGACTATGAATGCTACTCTTTCGACTGGATAGTAGTACATCGGGCCCCACGATCTTGGTGTCTCTCGCTCTACCCGGAGTCGGTATCCAAGACATCGATGCATCAGCGCCGACATTCGATCCGGCTCATCTTGACTTCCAAGTGCGATCATATCTTCTTCATCGTGGAGAAGACGAAAACCGCTTCCCCACAATACCGGCGGTCTTCTTCGAAACCAAGTTTTGAAAGCATTGAATGGTGATTTCTCCGGCTTCTCGAGCCTGAGCACTTCGTTCCGCCGGAGCAAGGCCTCCTCTATCTCTGTCGGTAACGAATCGATGATTTGAAAAATAGACATACCATATTCTTGCATCAACTTCCTGATTCTATAGATTATTCTGAGTTTCCCAGCTTGCTTTTCATTGCCTTCATCGGCCTGCTCTTTCAACTCCTCCCAAGATCTGGCACCCTTCTCTACCTTTATTTTCTCCAAATCATTGCTCGAAGTCGCGATCGTTCGTTTGTCCTCGACGTCCAGTTCTTGAAGATTTATCTCCAGAAGCTGTAGTTCCGCTTGCAGGTACAAGAGATTGCGAGCCCCAAGAACTGCGAATTTCCTGTAAATTGATAGACTGTGGTCGCTTGCAATGAAATGGCTAAAATCAGCGAAGCCCGGCAAGTACTCCTTCTCATCCAGCGCAGCCTCGACGTCAGCCTGGATTGCTGCCATGCCTGCAGAGCTCTCACCCTCTGCGCAGGTTCGAGATTGTGATGTTCGATATCGATATTATATGCCTTCAGAGACTGCTCACTCATAACAGTCAGATGCGGTTTCCACAAGCCAAAGGTCCGCGGATGAAGTTGCAAGCTGATGCACGAAGCGGTTTTGGGCGAGAATGGCTGTGCAAGCCACCGGCACGGTCATGCCGTCGCGAGCCTCACAGGGCCAAATGCTGATTCGCTCCACGGCCCCCATCTTTCTCGGATCACTTGGTGTAGCCTAGATTGACTAATTCTTGGCTATCTTTCCACCACTGCAGTCGGGCGGTTGTTGCAACCCAATAGCTGCCCAACTTCACGAGCCTCAAGTAAAGGCCCTCATGATAAAGCGCGAAGTCTCCCCTACCTCAACATCACCAAGCACGCTCTGGCTAGGGACAGCCTCGCTAGGGACGGCGAAATGGACAGAGGTCTTTAAGTGAGAAGTTGTCTTGCGACTTAGGAAACCCCTTGCACAAAGCAACCACGCTCCATCGTTTCCACTCTACACAATATTTGACTTTTGTGACTCTCACCCCACGATGTCTAGTCGGAGGACACATTCAAGTCGGAGGACACAGCAGCGCAGAACCACTCATACTCATATGGGCAGTTCTCGGACAAATGAAGTGACCTTTGAAGAAGAAGAAGAGGAGGAGTACATCGACAACCCCATGCACGACTTCGATGACGAGGATACTTTCAGCGGCCCCAACGGAGCTGGTAGTACTGGAAAGCCTATGAGCCGAAGGGACTATGAGGCTCAAGCAACTGTATTCGATTTTCACTCTCGCTCTTCTGCGAATCCTGCTGTGCAGCAAAGCGGCGCGCAGAGATTTGCTCAAGGTTCTTCGTATGGAGCAGTTGTTGAAGGCGACTTTTGGAAATGCGTAAGTTCTTTTTATGCCTACCAGTCGATAACTTATCAATAATGTGTTAGTTTCCGTGCAACGACAATGGCACTGTGGACGCGTACTTTGTCAAGAATTGTCCACGACCATATTGCAACAGGCCGAGGGGCATCCGAGGGACTTTTGAAACAGTATGGCGATGTGTAAGTTGCCCATGCTATCCTGCTGTCTAGTGATCGCGTCTGATAGCAATATCTGAAGGCCATTTGTAATGACCCAATTGATGCGAGATTGGGGACCTGTTATCGTGGGTGTAGGTAGTTGTGGATACGGGACGGGACTCATAGGACGTTCTAAACAGTCATTGTCAGTTGCCAACCACGTAATTCACCCCTTTAGATTAGGTCAACTACAAAGGCATATAGACCCTTTACTAGCCCGTACTTTTTGTATTTTAGATATCTCAATTCATGCTAACTTGACTCTCATATTTGAAACCTAATTACATGCCAAATACTGCCTTGTTCATGCAATTGTCAGGTTATTACCAAGCCGACGACCCCGCGTCACACCCGCTAGTGCGAACGTCTACTCTCTTGGTAACGTCGCCTCCTTCTCAAAAAGCAATGTTCTCGACTCAATATGGTCTATTCCTGCCCTCGGATACTCGGTATATGAGGATCTGAGTTGGCGGTTGGAGATACCTTTTCCTTTGTAGGTATAATGGAATGATTATTTTGAGACAAATCCAGTGTCATGTGAAATAAGTAGGATATCTCGTATAATAAGCAAAAAGAGCGGGGTGAAACGAAGTAACGGATCAATTTGACGTCCGGCTGCTAATCTCTTCACAGACAGTCAGCCTCGACCTTTCCCATACGGCGGATAAAAATTACCTGATTCAGGGATTGTTTCCAGTGTGCTCAGGGTACCCAATACTCGCTTCGCCCACCAGGGTCATAAACAACCAACTGATCGTCTTCGGACGTCTCCTGAGTCTGTTTTGCGTTTGCGGTTCCAGAAACTTCTGGGCGTAATTGTTCGTGCTCGCCCAGATTCTCGAGTTTCTGGGAAAGCTTGTTGCTGTGGACTTCTTCCTTAGATGTCTCGATCCTTCCCCCTTTCTTCTTCCTTTCCGTCCCCGACCCCCAATCGGGATCTAGAGCAACAGAGTCTTGCACGGGTGCCTCTTCCTCGCGTTGCTCAATGCTCTCCTTTGTCTTTTTCTTTTCCTTCTTCGATTTCTTGGATGATGTTCCCCAAGCCATCCAATCATCGTCCACAGCACGATCATCAGCGTCTTCTTTCCCCTTTCCTTTCGCTTCGTAGCTTTGGGGGATGGTGGAGAGTCCTCTGTCAAGACTATCCAGGGTCTCTTCAGTAATCCAAGCTGCATTGACACCTTTCCCCTTGTCTATCTTTAGTTTCATTTTTGACTCGTGACTAGACTGTCCTTGTGAAACACCGTCTGCGTTGGTGCGGGCGTGATTCCGGGTCATTTGGCGTTGTTGTTCTTTCGAATCCATTGGATCAATGGCAAATATTTTTTCTCCGAAAGGAGGCACTCCTCTTGGCTGCTCTTGGCCTCTTGTGGTCATAGAATATTGCAAGATATCTTCTGCTAGCATCTTGCTTGTGGGCACTGACAGTGCTGCATTTGTGATAACGTCTGAAACTTTGCCTTCCAAGGCGTGATGTTCTTGCTTTCTGCTGTCATCTTCAATGGTGCCTCCACTGCCTGTTGCCGGTCGTTCTCTGTTGCTCACACTAGGTAAGCTCTTCTCCACACTGGAGTTGGTTTTTGTTGGTCCAGAGCTTTCTGCTTCCAGCCCTGCATGCGATTGCTGGAACGCATCAAGTGTTGAGGCTAGCGAAGATAAAAGCAAATAGTCGCGATCACCCTGGCGTGGCGATATGGTGCTAGTCTTGCCGGAAGTATTGCGGGTATATGATTTATGGCGAGAAATATTACCAGGTTCAATGTCGTGAACAACTTCATGTGATGACCACTTGTCTCTCTGGACGGCAGTATACTTGAAATCCGAGTCGCGAGGTTGTTTACGTCTGGGAAAAAGCACTGGGAACGTGCCCCTTTTCTGACTCACCACGAGAATACGAGCTGAAAGCGTGGGAACTGCCGAATTTAAACCTTGACAAAGGATGCAATACTACACTCCTGGTTTCTGCTGTTTGAGGGATTGGACAAACAATCACGTCTTCTTGATACGATTCTGTTCTCGCCGGTTTGTCCGCGTAAGATAATGATGACCTGTTATCAAACGTTGTGGCACGCCGTAGATTTTTAGGCAGGAAAGTTCTTGCAGTAGACTTAAGAGGAGGCGATCTAGATCCACTTTTGGATTTCTGGAATGTTTGATCGGGAAGATCGAAGGCAACATTGCGTTCGTTGGCGGCTTGGACGTTCCCATGAGCAGATTCAAGTCGCTCGAGGTCAGAAAGGCTGTGTTGAGCCTGACGAGAAACTGCAGGTGGAGAAGGTGCAGAAGGCGGTGAAGTGCGTGATAGAATTACCTCAATAGCAGCATCTCCGACCATTGTCGGTGCTGAAGGGTTCAAGATAGGATGATTCTGTAGATTTTCGATGCTTCGGAAGGCTGGAAGAGAAGCCGCTGAAGCGGGTTCTGGCAATGGGGAGGAGGACGGTACATTTGGAACAGGCGTATGGATTTTGGTAGATGCTGTCTCATTCCAATCGTGCCCAAGGTTTTCCGGCATATCTTCTCCAGCAACGGAATCAGAAACTTCTGGCATTACTTCGTGGATTAGCATATTTGCTCGTGTCTTGCGCCCATACGCTCTTAGTACTGATGACTCTTTCCATGTACCGCTTATAGGCTTCTGTAGATGGCTTTCGATATCCTTAAGTTGCACTGGTGTACGATGAACTTCCGCTTGCTTACTCTGTCGTCGGGAGAAGAATCTGTCCGTAGCGATGGCCACCGCCACGGTAAGGGCAAGCAAGGGGAGCGCAAAAACAGGATACCATTGCACACCAGCGGTGAAAGTTGTCATCCCAAATATTGACTGCGAGACATGGCCGATTTAGCGGAGTGGTACAAGGAAATGTGACAATGAGTAGTAGATAGGATCTCGTACCGCAGCAAAACTTAGTGGCAAGAACACTAGTGCCAAAACATTCAGTCTGGCAACAGCCTGGCCTTGGCTCACAGTTTCTAAACTAAGGCCCTTTCAACTGTCAGTTAGGTTTCGGCATTGTGATGAATATCTTACAAGATTAATGAGGTTAGATTGCTGGGCCAAGAGACTTGATGCTGTCATGTCATAATAGCTCAGCAGATGTTGGATATGGCTGACTCGGGCCAGAAGTTTTAGTCTCACTCTAGGCGTAAATAGTTGAGTCGGTCCTAACTGTAGCGCAAATCGTGCCAATGATGCCTCGTGTATTCTTAAATGCTCATGTAGGCCCATAATAGTATCGGTGTGTTCATGTAACTCGCGAGTTTGTTGCAAAATCGGCGCTGAAGATGAAGGGTAAAACCTTTCCTGTAATGGTCGTGAGTATTTCCAAAGTATAGCATTTGAGAAAACTCTTACTATGACTTTCGCTTTTAGATTCCTTTTCACAACCGCCCAGACTTTCTCCCACTTTGTGAATAAGAAATATGTGTCGAGATATATCCAATCCAAGTCGCCCGCTAATCTGTCCCACCTTTCATGTTGAGGGTCCGAGTCAAAGTAATATCGTTTTAATCTGTCGGCAATAGGAGCGTTGGGTCCACTGACGAGGACAATCAATGGCTGTAGTCGGCGGGATCGAGGCATATAAGCATGGCTCAAATAGTCAGTCGGCCTCCCGTCCTCAGGATTGGAACAAGCGAATTTTGTTGCCCATGTGACTAGAAAAGCGGATTAGAAATAACCATCCCTAATAATGATTAGGAAGACAGATAATGGAACTTACACACTGAGCGACAACAAGCCTTCCTATCACCTAACTGTATGATTTCTCCATAGCCTTGGGGTTTAGGGCTGTATGAGTCGACACTGATATGCTCGGTTATGCAAGTAAGTTCTAACCGCTGATATATTAGATTTATCCTATGATACATAGTAGAAAGAAACCTGCCTTGATTTTCATTGATCAAAGGAAGCATACTAGCATTCTCTCGCTCAATGAAAGACCTCAATGATCTTGCTGGGAAATCTGGAAAAGCCATCTGCAGATGTTGGAGGTACCAGGGGCGCCAATAATCGATGACACTGTGTTACTCGTGAGTGGGCGCCATTGTTACTGAAGAGTAATACTCACATCATCAAAGGTCCATGAATTTTGTCAAACATGTCATCATACATCCGAGGAGCAGAAGAACGGAGTGAAGAAGTTCCATTTAGGGGATAGTTTCGCGTAGAGAACTGGAGTCTCCTGCCTGTCGACATCAGAGCAACAGTGCAGGTAAAGGCAGAGCCAAAATTTTCAGCATCCTGGGTATTGTTTAGTCTGATGTTTTCAGGTACACTCATGGGTGGTGTCATTGGCCCTTGAGTGCTAATTGATGACGCGCGACAGGCATTCGGTGCTAGGCCCGGTGCTATTATTCGTTCATCTTCACCCGTGCAAGGTTATGTACGGCCCACTCCTGGTCGAGAAACAGATTCGGATGGTTCGATATCGCCAGACGACATAGTAGAGTAGAAAATGGCTTCCCAGTTCTCGGGGCTCTCCGAGAAGATCTCATCCGAGTCAAGACTCCTGGCGGGGAAAATCATTCTAGTATCGTCCGAATCATAAGAACCATGGGTGATGATAGTGGTGGTTCCGCCTCTTTGTCTTGGTTGCTCTGGAGTAGACGACGATTCATTCTGAGGTTGATTTTCCTTTGGGGGGCCAACCGAAGGGGGTGGCCGGTCTTCATCTACTATGAGGCCACGTGGTTTTTTGAACATCATAGACAACACTACCAGCAGCCACAAATCTTATCGGGTAGTTGTACATAACTTTCTCCCTTGGGGGCGTTGGAGAAACTGGTCTTGGAGGTTGCTGTGGAAATGGTGCTGTTGGGACCTGCGCCGCCGATTCCTTAGGTGTTGATGATGGTACCAGAATTGGCGCCCCTCCCCTTGGCCTGGAATACCAAGAGGACGGCGAGTCAACTCTTTCAAATGCCTGCGCTTGGAGAGGTTGTGGTGGGCGATATTTTGCAATACTGACAGAGGGCGTATCAGAACTAAGAAAAGACAAGCGTTGAGAGCCGTCACTGAGCCTGCTGCGACCACCGAAATCCACCTCTCCATTTACGGGAGGCTGGGGAGTTCTAGACTGGATGCCCTTCTTTCGCACAATATTTATTTAGGCATTGTTTTGGCACTCAATCTTTGCACCTGCGACCGTAACTATTGCGCTTCCCAAGACTTTGAAAGTAATATTGTCCTCGTTCCTCGGGTCTTCCTCTGGGTCATCCTGGATATCAATATTCGTGCCATGTGCCTCTTCCAGAGATATTTCCTGGTCCCTTTCAAAAGACGAACGTCTATTACTCGAAGTAGAAGGCTCGCTACCAGTGGTTATTGTTGTCGAGGGCATAGCTTAACGTATGTGGAAGCAGTACCTGCCAGGAGGCTGCCGGTCTAACCGGATGTCTCTCAGTCCGCTCTTGGGATTCAGCCGCCTTGTGGAGTTGAGGGAATTGCTATGGCCAAATGTGTATCTTTTACTCTTGCTGATGTGGCATAACAATGCTTTGAGATAGAGATTGACGCGTTTGGGATTGGGAACAGGTAATCGTTTGGAATTACACGACGTGGGAAACAGCCTTGCTGTCTGCCACAGCGTAAACGCTTGCCTCAATGGGCACTCGGTCTAGCCCATGGTTCACATGTCATGCACGCAACCATGTGTCTGGATGAACGGTGAACTAGCAGAAGGGTGGGTGAGACGCCGAGTACAATTGGGGTGGTGACTAATTGCAGAATAACAATGCGGCGAAGACCATCCACTACGAAGAGCAAATGCACCAATGAAAGCAGCACGATTCTTGCGTCAGAGATTCTAGTGTTTGACTACAGATTTATGTTTAGATTAGGCAACATTTATACCGTACCCTGGCTGCGCTACGTTTTATTTTGGGGGGGAGAGGTTCAATTTTAGCGAGAACCGCTTGCTTGTTCGTTATTAATCTACTATAAAGCTTGAAATTAGTCGAAACTAATAATTAAGTATCTAGAAGCTCTGGTATTAATTATAACTTCGTATAAGCGACAGGTATTATATTTAAAGATATCTTTAATTATAAAAATTTGAGCGTCTTTTATTACTGGTTTTATTAATAGATTATTAAGCTTTAAGGCATGGTTTTTACTTATTAGTTAGTATATAAGGGAAAAGAAATTAAGGTTATTTACTAGAGTATTAGCTATAATTACTAGTATAATAAAAGTAGCTAAAAGGCTCTTAATTAAAGTAAAGTAGAAATCTAAGTATTAATTCTCTACTTTATTTATAGCTATTAAAAGAGCTTCAAGAGTATTACCCAAATAATTCTCTTTATTATTATTCTTATTACTCTTGTAATATTCTTCTTTTTTAACTTTAGCTACAAGTTATAAATAGCCATTATTAAATTCCTTATTAAAATAACGAGAATTCGAAGCCTTAAATTAATAAAGGTTTCTGGTTCTAAATCGAGCCTTCTTAGTCTTTTATTTCTCTAGTATATATTTCTAAAAGAAGTATTCGGGTTTTTTATATATAAAATATAACTTATTTAAATAATTATTATAATTATAAGGCTTATAGCTATTTAGGTAGCTATTTCGAATACTATAATTATAACTGGAATTATATTAATAATTTTCGAATAAATAGTTACTTAACTATTTTCTTAAATAATATTATTAATTAATAAAAAAGGGTTTAATATTAATTTATTACTTTTTCTTATAGTAGTAATAAATAATTAGAGCTTATTAATAAGCTAACCAAGATTCGAAAAAGAATTCGAGACTATATATTAATATACTAGTATATCTTAATAAAAAATAATAATTTTATTATATAAAAATTCGATATTTTATAAAATAAATATAAGGTTATATTATAATTAATATAGGTTATTAATTAGTAACTAGATAAGCTTAAATATTGTCTTTTTAGAATATTTAGTTATTATAATTACTAAGATAATAATGTTTTATTTATTTAAATTTCGATATTAGAAATCGGGGCTTTTAAAAAAGCTATAAATATTTATATAGGCTTCTTTATATATTAAAAAAGCTAGTTATTATAAAAGTAGTCTTATACTAGTTTCTTTAATATAATAAAAAAAGCTCTTATTAGTACCTTTATAAAAGCTTTATATATTAGTAAATATTAAGGAAAATAATACGTTTATAATTAAAATTATTATTAGTTCTATTATACTTTTATATTTTAATATATATCTTTATTATTTCTCTAATTAGTTTTTTTTAGCTAAGCTTAACTAAGGGCTATTTAAAGGTAATAAAGGTAATAGGAAGTTATTAGTTCTAGTTTTTTATAATATAATACTAATAAAAGCATTTATAAATAATAAAGAAATATAAGTAATAATTAGTTTAATATATTAATTTCTTATAATATTATTTTTAAGAAATATATATAATAAAATAATAAGGCTTGTCTTAAGAACTTATTTAATAGTAATAATATTAGTTAAAATTCAGATATATAATTCTTATTTCTAAATAATATTAGCTAAGAATTATATAATAATAAAGCTCTTACTATTATATTTAATATAAATATTATTATATTATAAAATAACTTATAATTAATATAAATTGCATTAATTTAATTAATTAAGTATTATAAGATTAAAATTACTAAAATTATTTTTAAATAAGTTTTAGAGATTATTATTAATTAACTTCTTTACCTTATATTAGAATAATCTAATATTAAGATAATCTAGAACTTTATTATTATTATAAATAGCTAAATTAATATTACTATTTTATTTCTTTATTTATATATATTTATTTTACGAATATATTATACTAAACTTTTAGGACCGAGCCTTTTCTAATATATATATAGAATTCGAAGTAAAAGGAGTTTAAAGGTGAGATAGTTTATAAAAGATAAAAGGATTTATAGAAATAATTCGGGATAAAGGTATTAAAATCCGAAGTAAATATTTTATTTATAATAAGAAATTTAGGAAGTAAAATATTATAATTCCGGAAAGATTTAAGGGTTCTAAAGTTCGAGGAATTTGATTTAAAAGTAAAACTGAAATTGAAATTAAAATTAAAGTACCTTAAAGATATTTTATAAATTCGGGTATTATATAAGTAAATAATTACCCCAAAAAAAGTAGTTTTAAGGCTAAAAGAAATTAATTTTAAAGAATAATAAATAAATAAATAAATAAATAAATAAATAAATAAATAAATAAATAAATAAATAAATAAATAAATAAATAAATAAATAAATAAATAAATAAATATAATAAATAAATAAATAAATAATAATAAATAAATAAATAAATAAATAAATAAATAAATAAATAAATAAATAAATAAATAAATAAATAAATAAATAAATAAATAAATAAATAAATAAATAAATAAATAAATAAATAAATAAATAAATAAATAAATAAATAAATAAATAAATAATAAAGTCTTTTTTCTTTAGGCTACTAATACTTTTTTATAAAGTTAAGAAGTAATTTCTCACTTTAAAATAAACTAGATTAATTTTACTATAAGCTATTAAAAACCTTTTTAATATAAATAATTTTATTATTTAATTTATAAATATAAACTAATTAATATTAATTTATAAATAATACTAGATATTATTATATAATATATATAAAATACTTAGTATATAAGTTAATAAAGTAATTAATATTTAGAAATAAAAAGTACATTATTATAATATTATAATATTAATATACTTTTTTTAAAATCTACTAAGCCTAATAGAAACTAGTTTATTAGTTAAATTATATACAAAATACGAGGTTATATAATTATATTTTATTTCTTATATCTTATTATTAATATAGCTATTTCTTTGGGAGTTACGTATATAGTCACGGGATACGGGATACGGGATATGGGTAATAGGACATAAGTAATGGGATATAGGATATAGGATATAGTCATATAACCTCGCGTCTTATTAGTAACTCGACTAGTAGACTAGATCCCTTTAGGCTTAGTAGATTTAGGGATTGTATATTAATACTATAATATTATAATTCTTACTTCTAAATAATAATAACTTTACTAACTAATATAACTAGTATTTCCATACCTATATAATAGTATTATATATTACTAGTAAACCAATACTAATTAGTTTATATATATAAATTAAAAAAGATTTTAGATTAGTCCTAAAAGTATTTAGTAGCCTAAGACAAATCTAGTCTATTCTATATTAAAGAAAAAAACTACTTATTAACTTTACGAAAGTATTTAGTAGCCTATAAAGAAGATATCTAGCTCTTACTAATTAATAAATAGTTAGTTATTTAACTATCTATCTATTTAATTTCTACTATTCTTTAAAACTAACTTCTTTTAGCCCTAAGATTACTTTCTTGGAAACTATCTTTTCTACTTATATAATACCCGTATTTATAAGACTTTCTCTCCGGAATATATACCCTATATATATCCTTAAAGCTATTTAATTACTACTTTAATTTTATTATTAAGTCGAGTTCTTTAAGCTTTAGACTTTCCCGGAATTATAAT